TGGTTTCTCCGGAACCAAGGTATGATTAAATTTTGTAGTTGCAGCTTAAGCCTAAGCATTAAGCTTTTTAACTGGCAAGCTAGCAAAGATTCCTTAGGAAACGTGGAAATCCGAACCGTTAATTTTTTTAGGTCTACAACCCCGCACCCTGTTCCAATGAGGGTACAACCGAAAATTAGAGGCCAAGTGGTGAGTCGCAAAAATTTATTGGATCAGCTTAGGCTTATTAGGCTGAGGTTAAGGCTTTGGTTTAGGCTTAGGCTTACTTAGGCTAAGTCTTTAGCTTAGCTGAGGCTTGGCTGTGGCCTACGCACAAGTTGCATCGAGAAAATTTAGGAAGAAGTGCCGGAACTGACCGACGATTTTGAGGACATCTCCTTTGGCGGAAAAGTAATTTAATAATGCGATTTTTATGCAAAATATATCTTAAGATTATTGACGGTGGATTGACAGACGAGTTTCCGTCCGATTTCTCGAACCGCGAAGTTCAGGTAAGGGTCGAGCGGAAGAGAATTTAGGAACCGAGAGCAGACTAGCAGAGATCATTAAAGGGATGCCGACGGCATAGGCATTCGGTTACGCGCTGGAAAGAAAATGTCTCTGCGCCTCTCCCCAGGGTGCGCTCTCTGCCCTGTTGGCTGCTTGCCAATTTGTTGATGGGGGGGATCGACACATGCCGTCGGCAGCCCTTTAAGGAAGCCAGGGCAGACTAGCAGAGATCACCAAGGAATTCCAGAACTTCTTCGATGAGGAGCCCCGAAAAGAGACCCCAGAGGTCAAACTAGAGCCTGATGTAAGAACCACGCCTCTGCCACCACCACCACCCCCGCAACGTCATCATCAAACCGGGGATTCGATTCAGAAGTTGCCCCAACCATCCCAGCCAATGTTCATCACCAGGGTACGGCCGTTTTTCTTACTGCCCCGGTGCTTCGAAAATTGCCGTTTTCCGAGCGTCGTACTCCCTTTCACGTGGGTTTTTAGGAGCAACTGCTCGAAAACCCGCCGCAGGAGCTGCTAGCTACCGTACCCCCGACGAGGCCTCCGCCTCCACCACCACCACCTCCTACTCTACGGCCACAACCGGTATGGGATAAGCCTAACCTAACCCTAAGCAGAAGCCTAAGCTAAACATCCGTTTTTAGCCGTTGTTCATCCCTGAGCCCGAGGCCGAGCAGCTCGACTTTGACTCCACGGAGCTGCTGGAAGGAGCTGAGGTAGGGAGAGCGAGAGAAAGAGAGAATGCGATAGATAGAGAGCGAGAGAAAGAGAGAGGGAGAGGGAGAGAGGGCGATAGAAAGAGCAATGGAACAATCTTTAGGAGCACCCGCTCGTCTCGATGTTCCCGGCCACCTTGGACCGAGAAGCCCGTGCCCTGCAGAGACAATTCTGGAGGCCAAAGCCCTTGGAACACCGCCCACCTTCACCGCCTATGCAACCCGAAGAGGAGATCGACCTCATGGAGGAGGCGCACAATGAGATCGAGAGGTTCGGATTTCTCAATTTGCCGTTTTGTTAAAATTGGCGAAAACGAGAGGTTTTAGTCCAGCTCGAACTCGCCCCCTGAATAGTGCCAATCCGACGTTTGCCAACAACAAGGTGGATAGGTGGGTGATTTTCCATAGCGATCTCTGCTAGCCTGCCCTCTCTTCCTCAATGATCTCTGCCGAAATGCCACATTTCAGCCGCTCCCTCCAGCCCAGCGCCCCTCAGCCTCCGATCGCTCCTTCCGGTTACGGTAGCGCTGAGGAGATTCAGCCATATTCCCCACAACACCGAGCTCAGGGCTGGAACAAACCCGTTACGCCACCAAATCGACCTACCCACCAGCAGGTACAGTAGATCGTCCAGCGTCGATAGGAGCCCAACGTTTTCAGGGCCCACAGCAACCATCCCTGCCTGATGTCTTCCCGCAGCAGAGAGGGCAGAAGGTCAGAGAGAGAGAGAGCGAGCGAGAGAGAGAGAGGGAAGAGAGAGCGAGAGAGATAGAGAGACAGAGCGTTTTATCTCCATTTTTCAGCCCCAGGGTCCCGCCCCGATCTCTGATGACACCGTCAAGGCACTTGATTGGATGCTGAACAACATAACCAAGGCAGCGGAGGCTGGAGACAAGCAATTTTTGAAAACATTCCAGGTACTGGCCCTAAAAATGAAGAATTTGGCTTTTTTAGCCAGAATCGTCGAATCCACCCGGATATTCACCCACTTTTGAGCCATACCAGCCGGCCGAGCCATTGCCTCCAGTAGGTTTTGAATGTTGATTATCTAGAGGTTGTGCTTGAGTTTGAGCTTATGCTTAGGCTTAGGATTAGGCTTAGGATTAGGCTCAGGCGTGGGCTCAGGCTTAGGCTTGGGTTTTGGCTTAATCTTAGGCTTACAGCCTTTAGGTGATATTGGGGTTTTTGAGCGAGACCTAGCTAGTTCGATAGCGAAAAAAAATTCTGAGCAAGATCTCGTTTTCCAACTCTGCTAACCGTGTATTGTATTCGATAAAAATTAATTTGAAAATCATTAATTTCGCCATCATTTCTCAGCTGATCCGCAGGTTTGGCTCTGCGGGTGCGCGTGAAGATAGCCCCCTTCAGACCTTTGAACACCATGATTCGCGTGGCATATTGGTAGTGCATTTGCTTCACAAGTTTTATCTTTTTTTGCCTTCGGGTTCGACTCCTAGCTAGTGAAACTCTTTTGTTTTTTTGCTTTGTGATGCCAAATCTGGCCTCAATAGCGTTAAAAACCAAAAAGCAAAACAGCTAATCAAAAAAAGTTCCGAACCCGCGAGCATAATTTTGCAAAAGTTTGATAGGCGCCTGCACTATCCACTAGGCCACCATTCCATGCGGGCCTGATCCATCTGTGGCCGCGTGGCGCCACGGAATTTTTGCATTAAAATTAATTTTTAGCGAATACAATACACGGTTAGCAGATTTGGAAAACGACATCTTGCGCAGAATTTTTTCTCTATCGAACTAGCTAGGTCTCGCTCAAAAACTCCAATATCACCTAAAAACGACTCCTTGTTAGGCTTATCCGGCAAGGAGAAACGTTTCCACCTGACTAAAAAGCCTAGCAAGAACTTTGAAAAAAATGGGCAAGCTAGCAGAAAGACTTTGCCGACAAGGGGGAACTAGCAGAGGCACTTGGGGAAAAATCGCGGCCATCTAGCAGCGGTTCTTTGCGGAATCATTGGGGGCTAATTAGCAGAAAAAACTTTGTGGAAATTTTTAACGTTATTTTACATGCTATAATTTTCAATTTAGGGAACCCGCCGCGTCAGCTACGGTATCAGCAAAAAGAAGCCGGTAAGAATTTCAGCCTAGAAAAAGACAATTTTCACGTCTCCTGAATTTACCACTTTTCAGGGCATCTCGAAAAAGGTACGGTAACGCAGTACCCAAGCTCTTAATTCTATCATTTCGCTATTTTTAATAATTTTTCTCTCATATTTTTGGTGCTCGGTGCTCTAATTCTTTTCATATTCGCTACGCTAAAAATGCTTAATTTTTCGGTTTTAGAAATCTTTATTATTTTTTTTTACTTTTAGGTCGGGGCACCGTCAAATGCTCATCGACGCCAGCATGGTTGGGCGCCGCAGGTAAGGGAATACGGTAACTGGCGCTTGAAACTAAAACAAATCCTGTTTTGCTAAAAAACCGAAAAATACCGATTTCGGAAAAGTGACTGAAAAATACCTAATTTCTTCGATTTTCTGAATAGAAATTCAAAAATTCCGAATTTCGAGAATTAGCAAAAACGCGATTTTCGAAAATTGTGACTTTTTCAATTTTCTACAAAAAACCGATCTTTGTGAATCTAAGATTATCCAAAACAGCATGTATGAAAAATATCGAGATTTCGAATTTTCGGCCTCAAAAATGCTGAATTCCGTAAAATCAAGTTCTAAAAATATCGATTTTAAGAATCTTTTTGCGAAAATGACGATATTTTAGAAAAACTGATTTTGCAATCGATTTTAGGGCTTAAATTTGCCATTATGCCAGTTTTTTTTGATTTCAGCATGACGGCGAGATGAAGCCAAAGATCGGGCGGAAGAAGCTGCAAAAGAGGCCACCCGGGTTGAGCCGAAGAAAGGTAACATTGAAAAGTTACAAATGTCGAATCGCTAACTTTCCTGCATTTAAAGGAACTGTCAAGGCCAACTTCGCGTTTTTTGGGCTTTGCTTGTACTAAAAAACCTTCTTTTCTTACTACTTTCCTACTCCTACTTTTCTAATCCCGTATAAAATTTTGTTATAAATTCGAAAATTTAACTTTTAAAAGCCTTAAAAATCCGCTAAAACGATGCTCTAATCTCGGCTTCCCATTAATGCTTCAATTTCACTAACAGAAGCCGTGGCGTGGACTGTCGAAAGCGCACTATCCAAAGGTCGAGGGAGGCGATGGGGCTACGGTAGGTTTCCAACTTACATACCGTAATCCTTGTGTTGATTAATGCACTGACGAGTTTGTGGAGCACTTTTTAACCTTAAGCTTTGGCAACAATTCCTGAATGATCTCTGCTAGCCGGCCCGTTTAGATCCAAGCGGCCACCCAGCAAAGTGAGCACAAAAACACGGGAGGCTACGATGGACGAAGGGCGTTAGCCGCTCGACAGCTTCCGGTTCAGGTAATTTTTTGCGATTGTAGCGAGGCTACGCAAAGATACACAATGTCACGCGTGCAACAACTGATGCTTGGCTCAAGCGTCTGCTGGTTTTCTAACCCAGTAGTATTACGCTACGCTACGATACCTTGCGTTACGAATAGCAACTCTGGATGTTTCTCTCAAAAGTATCTGATAGCTAGCTCTATACTACGCTACGCTACGATACCCTACGCTACGCATCACAACTACTGACGTTTTCCCCGGAGTTTTTTTCTAGCTTAGCCGCTGGTACGCTAGGCTACGATACGATACGCCACGCGGCACAACTACTGAGGTTTTTGCTAATTTGGCACACCATTAGTACGTTACGCTGGGTACGTTACGTTACTACCTACATCTCCTCAAGAATATTTGCTAGCTTGCCAAGGCTCAACTTCGCGGTCAGCCACGTAAAGAAACGCGAATTTACGCATCCAAACCCCGGAATTCTCGCAAAAGTACGATGCGCTACATGAGTTCCCCTATCCGGTTTCTTCTCTAAAAATCTCTACAAGCTCGCCATTTCCAGAAATCCCCAGCCGGCCAGGCGTTGATCGACGAGATCGACGAGTTGCAGGCATTAATGGGAAGTATCGAGAAAGAGGTAGTAAAAAACACGTATCGCTTTATTTTCTATTTAGCTCAAACTCGTCGGGGCCAAGAAGGAGAAAGCTCGCGTGGCGATGGAGGAATTTAAGAAGTTAGTTATCTCTCTTTCGCTCTCTCTCTCTCTCTCTTTCTCTCTTCTCTCTCTCATTTCTCTTTCACTCTCTTTCTCTCTCTCTCCCTCTCTCTCGCTCTGTGTCTCCCTCTCCTTCGCTCTCTATCTATCTCTCGCTCTCTCTCACGCCCCCAACTAGCTCTTTTCAGAGACGATCTCGAAAACCCATCCCTCAACGGCGATCGATTTATGGGCGAAAAAGTGCTCAGGGTACGGTAACTTATGCATACTGTAGTTACCCCACTCTTTAGCACACGAATGCCATGGATCTGGAGCTGGCGCCGCGGCGGGGCTTTGAGGTTCAGAGAGGGGCTTCTATTGGAATTATTGTAAGTTTTAAAATTCGCAAACTTGGTTTCAAATTTAATTAATTTTAGTCCAACTTAATGTCAATTTTTTAACTCCTTTTTTCAGGAGCAACACCAGAATGAGCCGTTAATTTTCTCTGATGGTCCTGTAGCGGAAATTGGATCCGGTAATTGATTGAATATCTCACAAATGGCGTCTGCTAGCTTGCCCAAACGAATAAAAACTTTCCTCAAAGATCTCTGCTAGCTCGCCTTGAAAAATTCGGACTTGGCAAGCTAGCAGAGATCATTTCAGACCCCCCAATTTTCAGCCGGAACCTGGAAACCGTGGTCAGTGTGGGGGAAGTGCTTCTGCGGAAATCAGGTTCGAACGCGGGCCTGTGACTACGTGGAAGGCGTCACGACGATTGGGTGTGAAGGTAGGCAAACGCTACGCTACGTTACGCTACGTTACTTTACTTTACGATAAGCTACGTTACGATAAGTTATCCCATTATTACGTTACATCACGCTACGTTTCGATACGCTATTCTACGCTACGTGTTGATACGCTAGGCTACACAAAGTTGCGCTAATTTACGAGACACAGCGTTAGGCTACATTCCGCTACGCTACGTTACGCTATCAGAAAGCATAATGTTGCGCTACGCTACGCTACGTTACGCTAGGTTACTGTACGTTACGCTGCGTTACTGTACGTTACGCTACGTTACTGTACGTTACGCTACGTTACTGTGCGTTACGCTGCGTTACTGTACGTTACGCTACGTTACTGTACGTTACGCTACGTTACTGTACGCTACGCTACGTTACTGTGCGTTACGCTGCGTTACTGTACGTTACGCTACGTTACTGTACGTTACGCTGAGTTACGCGGCATTAAATTACATAACTCTTTGCAACATTCGGTAACCTTAAGATGCACTTCGTTACGTAGAATCCGCGACATTACTCTGGCCTGCACTAGGTTACGCAAAGTCACGCAAACTCCACTTTCAGGCCCCTCCTACCAAAGCCGACCGTGCAAAGGAGGCGTCTGCCCAGCCCGGGATCCACATCCCCGGCAAACGATAAAGCTGAGACCGTCGATTCCGGAAGAGGAGGTAACTTTTCGATTCCGAATCTGCTTAACCCTGTTTTTAGCCGGAATACGAAGTGCCCAGCCGCACGGATCGAGCCTACTTCCGGCAACGAGCCTTGGCCCCCGCCGGGTTTGGTGGGTAGCTACTAGATGAAATGAAAAACGCTATGTAAATCAGAAATCACCACGGGGTGGCTTTTGGGGTGTCTTTCGGGGCGCTGTCTGGGGTGCTTTTCGGCAGTATATCACTAGGCTTTTTTGACCAAATCAGAAGATGAACATCATCTTCGAGCAGTTCGAATAACTCGACGCCAAACCGCTCGCAACTCATTTGGGGGTCGTTTGGTAGCATTCCTTCGAGGTTGTTGAAGGCGGCGGCCAATTTCGAGACGTTTTTTTCCAACCGCCCTAGCAGCTTAACCAAGATCAATAAAATTGCTTCAAGGCGTTTAGATTGTTGCATTTTCACCGCTCTTCCCAACTATATATTTACGGTTTCCGAAAACCGTCTGAGGACAAAGAGGGGAGCGTTTTGGTGCAAAAAGGCGTACCTGTCGAAGATGTCGCCGCACTAAAACAATCATAGCTCGATCTGTACAGCGTATTCTGAATTGCGGAGGACATCATTCGAAAGAGCGCGAAAAGTGCTGTCTGTCCAACGAGTTTCAGCTTTTGAGCAGCTTTGCCGAGCCTGCTAGGGCGGTTGGAAAAAAAACGTCTCGAAATTGGCCGCCGCCTTCAACAACCTCGAAGGAATGCTACCAAACGACCCCCAAATGAGTTGCGAGCGGTTTGGCGTCGAGTTGTTCGAACTGCTCGAAGATGATGTTCATCTTCTGATTTGGTCAAAAAAGCCTAGTGATATACTGCCGAAAAGCACCCCAGACAGCGCTCCGAAAGACACCCCAAAAGCCACCCCGGGGTGATTTCTGATTTACATAGCGTTTTTCATTAACATATAACAACTTCCGACGAGTCAGAACGGCAAACGAATCAACTCGTGGACGAATCGATTCGTTTCGATTCTGATTCGTGGGCAACGAATCGATTCGCCAACGAATCAACTCGTCTGACGAATCGACTCGTATGCGAATTGATTCGTTTTGAATCGGATTCGTTCCCAACGAGTCAAATTCGCTACGAGTCAAATCGCGATCGAATCAACTCGTTTAAATTTTTGGACGAATCAATTCGTCAACGAGTCAACTCGTATAACAACCCTAGTATCTACGCATTAAGGGCGGGGAAGTCCCAAAACTCTATAAGGGTGGCTAGCAGATAATCTTTGGGGAATTCAGAGGTTTTTCTAGTTTTTGAACTTTTAAGCGGTTGTGCCTTTAGTAGCTCGAAAAATCCGCTGTCACACCCCCTTTAAAATCTTAAAAATAACAATTACGTGAATAACTTTAATTCTAGTTAAATTCAAATTTTTAGTCGCTCTCTAAACGGGTAAAAACACTTGCCGCCAATCCTCCGATGCCATACTCCTGCCGTCGTCTTTCAACAAACGCGAAATTCCTGATCTGATTGCCCTACTATATTTTTGCTGTTGATTACTGTATTCCGCAATTCCGGTACCGTACTTTAACGTACAGTAACGTACTGTAACGTACAGTACCGTACACTCCACCTCCCCCTAATAATCCGATACCCCCCACCCCATTGATGTGCAATTTGAATGCTAATAATAAATTGTTGATTTTTGGCTTGTTTCCATGTTCCTTTAAAATGCTTTTTGGATTAAAATACAGCTATTTTTTAATATATTTAATTTATCAAAATTAATCAAAAAATTCTTCACGAAACTGGCGCATAAAAATCATCAAAATCTGGGCCGAAAAACACCAAACAACAGCGGCAAGGAGTACGGTAGGTGGGGGCAACTTTTAGGGGGGAATCCCGTGAGTTTGTCGCGAGTACAAGGTAGTCAAATAGTACGGAAAACTACAGACTACAGAGTACTACAGACCGTAATCTCGGAGGGTCGTTGCATAAAAAATAAACAAAAATTGCAAAAAAATATATAAAAAATGGACAAATAAAATGGACAAAAATATAAAATATGCAATCATGCACATAGAAAAGCGAAATTAATGGGGAGTACGATATGGGGGTACTGTAACCGGGGAATTGAGCACATTTTAGCACGCGACTGCCTCGCTCTCGTCGCTCTCGGTGGACGTCTCGTCGACGATGGCCATGTGGACGGGTTGGCCACCCTGGAAAAAGAGCGATTGAGAGAGTGATAAAGAGGGCGCGAGAGAGTGACAGAGAGAGAGAGCGAGAGAGAGCGAGAGAGAAAGGGAGAGAAAGAGGGCGAGCGAGTGAGGTAGAGCGATAAAGAGGGCGCGCGTGAGAGAGAGTGACAGAGAAATCGAGAGAGAGAGAAAGGGAGAGAAAAAGAGCGAGAGAGAGTGAGGTAGAGCGAGAGAGAGAGAGAGAGAGAGAGAGAGAGAGAGAGAGGCAGAAGGAGAGAGTGCGAGAGCGATAGAGACAGAGGGAGCGAGAGAGAGTGAGAGAGAGACAGTGAGACTTACCGAGTGAGTACGACGATGCGTCTTTATCGTCCGTTGAACACGTCGAAGTGCAGTCTCACGGTCCGACAGCCCATCCGAATGAATGGCCGCCATCTCCAGAGACCTTTCCAAGGAGCGCTCCAACGATGAGGCCATGGAGGAGGACTCGAGGAGCATGAGCTCACGATGCCTGAAAAGTACTGATATAGGTACGTTCACCCGGTTTACACTTACAATTAGGCGTATGCTCGGGATTTAGTTAATTAACACCTAGCCCTAAGCTTCAAGCTTAATCTATCTCGTACCTCTTCTCCACCGCCGTCACCTCATCAGGCCTGAAGGTATTGGAGGCCCTATTGGAGTCGAGGCTCGACTCAAAAATGTTGCCATTCTCTCGGTCTCCCTCGTCTCCTCCTTCAACTCCTTCGGCTTCTGATGAGCTCTCGCCACTCGCATCCGAGTCGGAATCTCGCAGGTCTTCCGGGCGCCCGGGGTTGTTGCTGAACGGCTTGAAGATGAGGGGCTAGGAGAGCCTGCGTACCTGTCTATAGAAGACGCCAGATCGACGTTAGGATGGACGCGGAGTAAGTTGCTTGGATCGACAAGAGGGTTCTCGTATGTTGAGATCGGGGAGGCGTAGAGGGGGTTGGAGTATCTGGAATAGGATGGTTGGTAAGTTCGGGGTTCAAGCCTAAGCCTAAGCCTCGGCAAAGCCTGACTTACCCAGTTCCTCCCGGACAAAACGGCGGCAGCGGCTGTGGTCGGCATGGGATCGTCGAGACCGAGGTAGATGACATTGCGTTCGACAAGGCAGGCGGAAGGGTGGCTGTCGAGCCATAGTTGGCTAGAGCTTCATCGTAGGAGGAGGATGGGGCGACGCTCGCGGACCTGAAGTACGTCAGTAACTTAAGTCTCGCCGAGAGAGAGAGAGGGGGAGAGAGATAGAGAGGGAGAGAGGGAGAGAGAGCGAGAGAGCGAGAGAGAGAGAGAGAGAGCGAGTAAGAGCAAATGAGAGATATAGGGTGTGAGAGAGATAAAGTGCGTGAGAGAGAGAAACAGAGAGAGAGAGAGATAGGGAGAGCGAGAGAGCGAGAGAGAGAGAAAGGGAGAGAGAAAGTGAGATCTATTACCTATCATAATTGTCGTAGATCGTGTCGGATTGTTGGCTAACGACAGACAGTTCCCTTTCCGGAAGTTGTACTGGGCATGACGCGCGCTTCTCCTTGTCGCGGTTGTGGCGGACTAAATTAGTTTTTATTAGGCATAGGCAGGGGCGTACACGAACCCGATTTTGGGGGGGGCAACTTGCCCTGTTGCCCCCCTCGTACGCCCCTGGGCATAGGCATAGGCTTAGGCTTAGGGGTGCTTAGCTTTGCTTGAATTGTTGCTTAAAACCAACCTTGCGGCAGCCTAGCCGGTGAATCCCGTCTAAAGGCATCCCTCGGTCTCTTGGTCCTCCTCCTCGCCGACCCATCCGACCATCTTCCCTCGTTGGCCCTCGTCAGCAGCGATGGATGCTGAGGCGTCAGGGGCCCAGTCTCCTCCAGGATTGAGCAAGAGTTGACCCTGGATGGTCCCAGTTGGATCCCAGAGTCCTCGGAGAATCCAGAATGTCGTGCCGGGCAGTTCCGCGCGAATTCCGACCATTGTTGAGAGGAGGAAGAGTGGCGCATGGCGCTCTCGCGGGCAAGGCTTGCTGAAAAAGTTAGAGGTAAAGGTGTGCGTGAGATACTTGTTGAAGATGTTGGTCACTAGCGATTTTAAGGTAGGACTTACGTGACATTGAAGCATTGTGGGGACGTAGTGGGGATGGACGAGTTGGGCGGAGGCCTTGGGAGGATCGTAGGGAGGATTGGCGTGAGAATGAGGGGTGGCCGGACCAGCTGGAAGGGGTTTGTAAGATTTTCTGGCTGTCGTTTCTCTCGCTCTCTCTATCGCTCTCTCTCTCTCTCTCTCTCTCTCTCTCTCTCTCTTTACCTGCTAGCTTGACTGCATCGATACGGCGATCCTCTCCTCATATCTGGAGATCCTTCAACCTCATCCTCCACCTGCTCCTCCCCGCTGCTCGACGACATCCCGTCGTCAGCCCCATACAGCGAAGGATGGGCAACGTGCGTGGAGAAGACGCTAAAAACACTTGATCCTTGTTTTCTACCCTTAACCTACTCGGCAGTCGCTTCCCCTCGATGACTTCTCGGCCCTGCGCGGACGACGACGGCCCCGCGGTGGTTAAGCGGGCCCGAAAATGAGCCACCTCTATAGTGCCGTCCCTCCCGGATGGCGAGATCTCGCTCTCGGCCGAGGAGCTCCTGAAAATAAATGGTATTTAAAAGCTACAGAATCATAGCTAAAAACCGGGTGAACACCTTGAACTTGAGGCCGAATCTAATTCGACTAACGCAATTCAAGCCGGTTGGACTAACAAGGGAAGTGCACGACCGGCCCACGAGAAATCGACACGAGACATAGTCGATCTGATAGAATCGGCCACGGGGATTCCGAATCTGTAATCAGAATTTGCTAAATAAAACGGAGAAAAAACTTATGAAGCTTCCAAGGTGGCCAAATCGCCAAAAACCGTACCTTTCAGGGCCCGTAAAAACCGGTGGTAAGAAATTGAGGAGACAAGAGTTAGTGAAACTTGTTCAGCAGAAAAAGCGCTTTCGAATGAGCTGTAACACGTAGCATTTGCAAACAATTCACTGAAAAAAAAATTTTGGATTCACGGGCAAGGGTATGGCCTGTCAAGTTCATAGAAAAGATTTTCGGGAAATCATCGTAAACTTGAAGGAAGATAGCTCATTCGAAAGCGCTTTTTCTGCTGAACAAGATGCACTAATGGGTTTTGGCAAATTTCCATTCCCTGCGCCTTTACAGGCCCATAAAAGTCCGGTTTTGGGCGATTTTGCCAACTTTGAAGCTTCATAACTTTTTTCTCCGTTTTGTTTAGCAAATTCTGATCACAGATTCGGAATCCCCGTATCCGATTCTATCAGATCCACTATGCCTCGTGTCGATTTCTCGTGGGCCGGTCGTGCACTTCCCTTGTAAGATTAGCAAAAATATTAAGATCACACCAAAAGCTAAATCTACAAGGAATTCAGTGAACGTCTTGATCATGACGGCAATTCAATGAACTAGAAATTCAAGAACTTGAAGCTGTTCGGCCTGAAATTTTGCAGAAATATGGGAAAAGCAGTAAGAAATTATATGCGAAATTTAGGCATTATAACTTGGGTAATTTTTAAGTTATGATCAAAATACCAAAAAAATTTACAAAATTTTTTGATTGTTTGCTTCTAATTCAAAAGTTATAGTAGCTAGCTATTTTAAAAATTATCCCGCAACTTTAAAGTAGCTTTTCGCATCTTTGTGCGATTTTCACCTCAAACGGCTTGACCACGCCGATTCTATAGTGTTCTAAAAGCTAACCTTCTCCCTGACGTCCAGCTCCTCGAGCAGCGTGGTCAGCTTCTGGTACATCCGGTTGCACCTTCGGAATTTCGTCTCATACATTACACGGATATCCTGTGCATGTTTCAGTTCCTCCTTGCGCTTCCTGATCTGCTCCTGTTCGTCGTGGGCCCGGAGTTCTCCGGGGTGTCCCTGCAGGGTTTCTGGGTATTTGATAGCCCGCGCTTCTGCCTTCCAGCCCTCATATCTCTGTTGCCACTTGGCTTCTCCCCATCCGGCCAGCTCGTTGCCGAGGATGTCGAGGTGTTGGAGGACGCCCTGAAAACGTGTGGATCATGATCAGCGCGCTAAACGCTCTCTCTCTCTCGCTCTCTCGCTCTCTCTAGCTCTCTCTCTCGCTGTCTCTCCCCCCTCCCTCTCTTCCCCTCTCGCTCTCTCTCGCTCTCTCGCTGCCTCTCTCTCTGCCTCTCTCTCTCCCTCTCTCTCATACCTGGAATGACGGCCTATTCCTCGGCTTCTGCGACCAGCACTGCTGTATCAGCATCCGCAGCCCATCAGGCAACATTGTCGGCATGGGCAGCGCCAACTTCCCCGACCCGACTCCAAAGAGGACAGCCATCGAGTCGATACCTCTATACGGCAGCTCGCACGTCACCATCTCCCACAGGACGACACCGAACGACCAGATGTCGACCTTCTCGGAACAGGGCTCCTTCTTGATCATCTCCGGGGCCATCCAGGAGACGGTACCGCAGAAGGACATGAGTGCGGAGTCTCGTTCTCCTTTCCAGTGCTGGGAGGTGCCAAAGTCGGAGATCTTCATGGTGCCGTCGCCGGCCACGAGGATATTTGGGGATTTAGGTCGCGGTGGACGATTTTGTTTGCATGGAGGTAGGACATGCCGGCGGCTACCTGAAACGGCGTCATGTTTAAGAAGTTCAGCGTTTTAGGGAGTGAAAAAGACGGCTTTAGATGTCTGTCAAGTTCAAAGAGTTCAAGTTCTCTTAGGACGAGATGGAGAGAGAGCGTGTGAGAGTAGAGAGAGAGTGTAGAGAGACAGAGAAAGAGAGAGAGAGAGAGACAAAGAGAGAGACAGAGAAAGGGAGAGAGCGAGAGAGAGAGCGAGCGAGAGAGAGAGCGCAAGAGAGAGAAAACTCTTCCCACCTGTCGTGCCATATCAACCCATCTCTGATGCGGAATCGGCTGACCCCCCGCTCAGCAGCTCGTTCAACTGCCCGTTGGAGCAGAACTCCATCACCAAGCAGAAACAGGGGGCCTGTGTGCACACCCCCATGAACTTGACGATGTTGCGGTGGGCGAGATGGCGGAGGTGGGACGTTTCCGTGTCCCGAAGTTCTTTGACCTTCTTCACCGCCACCACTTGAGCGTTCAGCTTGCCGGTGAAGACGGCGCCCTGGAAAGAAAAATAATTTCAATTATATTCAGAATTTTAAGGGCTATCGAATCAGCCAAAATCATTAAAATCCGAGGCTTCTCCGGCGAGGTATACCGATTTTAAATCCGGAACTCACCTGCGATCCGGCGCCCAGCCACTCGAGGTTAGTGATAGATTCGAACGGGATCTCCCAATCATCGCCGGTGTAGGAGGCACTGAAAAGGGTATTTTTTGGCCAGCTAGCAGAGGTTCTTGAGAAATTCCCAAGGGAGCTTCAGGTTGAGCAGGCTTGGACTTAGACTTAGGATTAGGCTTAGATTTATGCTTAGGCTTAGGCGTTTAGGCTACCACTCACATAGAATCGGTCTGCGGCCTCCTAAATATTCCTGGCAAGATGAAGCTGAAGCATGATGAGATAGGATTCAGCAGCCCGGAAGCGTAGCCGAGGCCCTCCTTCTTTCCGACGGGGATGGGCATCATCGGCTGCTGTAGATGATGATGGTGCTGGTGATGATGCTGAGGAGAAGCCGGTGCTGATTTTGTCTCCACCGGCGCGATGGTGCCTGAAATTGGGGTTGAACGCCTTGAACTTCACGAGAAAGCCAAATTTCCATAAAATCCAATGGACTCAAGGCGTTCGGGCTTTTAATTTCGCAGCAACATGAAAAAGAGCCAGCAGCATTTCGATGCAAGTTTGGAGGCCGATAGCTACAGATCTTTGCCGAGTCTTAGCCCGAACGGCTTGAAGTCGTTGGCGATGCGCTCCGTCTAAATACTCACCGGGTGGCGTCATGCCGAGGCTGGTTGATACCGTATTTGTCGAGCTGAGCATTCAGTATGTTGTGTATTTCTTGTTTTGGTTTTCTTCAGTTTCTAGATCGTCTTCTAGGCGGTTTGGGCCCACGAAATGGGGCACCCAAGGAGGTCGGAGACCTGGAAAATGGAGGATAAGTCGAGCAAGAGAGAGAGAGAGAGAGAGAGAGAGAGAGAGAGAGAGAGAGAGAGAGAGAGAGAGAGAGAGAGAGAGAGAGAGAGAGAGAGAACTACACAGAAAATTTTTAAGGGGTGAAGGGTAAAAATCCGGAAAAGACCAGGCCTGTTAATGCGAGATGGAGCAGGGCACGCTAGCAGAGATCATTGAGGATAGCAAAAATTATTTAGGAACTAGGTTAAATGGAATCTCTATAATTTGAGCGCAGAGAGACAGAGAGAGAGTGATAGAGAATGAGAGCAAGAGAGAGTGAGAGATAGCGGAATACCGAGAGGAAACCATCAAAAAATCACTCCAAAAATCGAAAAATCCGATGACTCGCCAAAAAAAGCATTGATGGATCGGGCTAGCTGACCAGTGGGGGTGGCCAATTTGCATCCACAAATCGTCGCGATGCGGGAGAGGGAGGGAGGGGGAACATCCCCCGCAAAAAAATGGGGGCGATTCGGCACAGGGGTGGGTGTATAGAGGAGTGGAACGGATCAATACGTTCACCGAAAACCTGTTCATGACTTCCAAGTGCCCTTCCCGCACAGGTCGGCGAATTGTAGAGGGGAGAGTGAGAGAGAGACAGAGAGAGAGAGAGAGAGAGAGAGAGAGAAGAGAGAGGCAGACAGACAAACGCTTAAATGACGTGTGGCTCTATTAAGCGCCTTTCCGACTACGTGACTGTCCTTTTGACGGGACATTTCGTTTTAAATGGACTCGGAAGCGAAAAAACTGTTTCAAACGCTTCGGGCAGGCTAGCAGAGATCATTCAGGATTGAAAAGAATTGGTAACTAAAAACGAAAGCTACTAGGTTCTATAAATTTTTGAGGATTCTTGAGCGTTCTAGACCGAATCGTTCTAAAATTTTTGTCTCGATTTCCTCAAGAATCTCTGCAAGCCTACCCCTCAATAAGCCATGGCTTTTAGAGCTTTAAGGCATGCTAGCAGAGATTCTTGAGGAACTCCAAATCCCCCTCAACACCCAGCAAAACAATGGAATCTGTTATTCGCGCCGGGTGCTCATAGTGACCCGGTCGGATGTTTTGTCGGGAATTGAAGCGAACCGGCAGAGGGGGGCAAATCGATGATCGCTCGGATCGTGGGACATCGCCTTTTTACTGTCTCTCTCTCTCTCTCTCTCTCTCTCTCTCTGTCTCCCTTCTGGAATGCAAATTATCCTGTGAGAGTCTCGACAAATATGACGGCATTGAGGCGCTGTATGCGAGCGAGAGTGCAGGCGACTCCTTGAAATCGGCCAGGCCAGAGTGGAGGAAAACTGGCAGAGATTCTTTGGGAAGCCAACTAATAATTTGCAAAAAATCTGACAGGCAATGAGCTTGGAAAGGTCAGGAAATGACTTGCGGGAGCACCAAAAATGAGAATGGCTTGTGAAAGCGATGGACAGTGAGAGAGAGGGAGAGAGAGAAATAGACAGACAGACAGACAAAGGGAAAAAGATACCTTGAGATAAGGGCCACTTCAGAACCCAATATCACGGGTTTGAACCCGACATACGTATCCAAAATTGACCAATATTCAGGGGCAGATAAAACAGGCTAGCAGAGATCATTGAGGAAGCGAGGGCAGGCTAGCAGAGGTTTTTGAGGAAACCTTGAGCAAGCCATGATAACCTTTTTGCCTTCCAAATCCCATAACCTCTCAAAAAAGTGAAGCCCAATGGGGTAGTGCGTGCTATGTGGGGGTGGCCCTGGTGTCGGGGATGGGATGGGTCCTCTAGGGGCCCAGGATCAATGGCCTTAGGGCCCAAGAGAAGGCCCAGTGGCCCCCTTTAATGGAACCCGAATGGACACCACTGAGTCACCAAAGGGGGGAACGAACGGGTTGGTTGTTTGGATGGAGGAGGAAAATTGGGTTGGAAGAGCGAGGGAGGAAGAGAGAGGCAGCGAGAGAGAGAGAGAGAGAGAGAAAGAAACTTTTGTAGAGCGGATAGAAGCTGTCAAATTGGTACAGTGGCGGTCAAAAGTTTATAAAATTTCTTATTTTGGCCATAGCTCGGCACTCGTTTGCACCAGAAGCTTCATATTTGGCACACATGTGCATAAAGTAACGCAGAATAAATATAATATATTATATAATAACTTTTTTTATTATATAAACGCACACGACAAGTTTTTTAGAAGTTTTACGAAAAAGGCGGCAGCAAAAGTTTATAAAATTTTGTTCGAGGCGTCAAATATAGACGGGATCGGCCTTCCCAAGGATGAGCAAGGTTTCTAAAAGTTAAATTTTGAAGCCGGTTACAGTTTCCCGTTGAATATTTGACTCCAAACTTTCTAGACGATTTTTTCTAAAACACTATTCTAGTATGAAAATTGCACTTTTTCGGCTCCTCCGGACGGTATCGTTCCGTACGCATAATACAACAATACGGTCGGAAAGCGCAGTTAAAGAGAAGCATTTTGGTATAGCATTCAATGCACGATATTGTGAACGGAAGAAGATATAGATGGTTGAAGACCGGGCCTCGCCAATTTCGACTGCCTTGAAAGGCCCGGGCTCCCAATTACTATGATGCGCGCTTGCCGTTAGCTTCGACCATCCAGTATTCGATGAAGGACTGGTTTCATGTCATGCTTTATATACCAAAATGCTCCTCTTTAGATGCGCTTTCCGGACGTATAATTGTATTCCTACGTACGAAAAGATACGGTACGCTGGAGCCGAAAAAGTGCAATTTCCATACTAAAATAGGGTTTTGGAAAAAATTCTCTAAAAAGTTCCAAGTCAAATCTGCCACGGGAAACTATAGCCGGAGTCAAAAGTTAATATTTACAAACTTTGGTCATCCTTGGGAATCCCGATGTCGTCTATATTTGACCCCTCCAAAAAAATTTTATAAACTTTTGACGCCGCCTTCTTCGTAAAACTTCTAAAAAATTTTTCGTGTGCGTTTTTATAATAAAAAAGTTATGCCGTCCTATTCTGCGTTACTTTATGCACATGTGTGCCAAATATGAAGCTTCTGATGCAAACGAGTGCCGAGCTATGGCCAAAATAAGAAATTTTATAAACTTTTGACCGCCACTGTATTAAAGTGTTTTCTATCTTGCTTTCGCTCTCCCTTTTCTCTCTCTCTCTCTCTCTCTCTCTCTCTCTCTCTCTGTCTCTCTATATCTCTCACTCTCTTTCGCTCTCTCTCCCTCGCTCTCTCTCACTCTCTCTCTCCTTTTCTCTCTCGCTTTAGAAACATAAAATCCGAATCTGGCCTCAAAACTCTCCAATTTGGCAGGCTTTTCATCAAAATTCCGGCCGGCTACTCTTTGCACCAAACAACACAATGAATTCCGGAAAGGGGTTGCCTGAAAATTGCCGAGGAATGGAAGGGCCCTCTGGCCCCTTGGTGGGCACCGGGTTGCTAGGAACACCTGAATACATACACAGATCGGCTGGGAGAGAGACAGAGAGAGAGAGAGAGACTGGAGGCAGAGCTATCCAAAAAATGACCTGCCAGTAAAAAGCGCCAATCCTTGAATGGGGGTCCTCAATTGGCCCAGGATTATAGCGGCTTAGCTGAATGCGAAATTTAAAGGCATGGTGCCGTCAAAATTCAGGCTAATAGAAGCTATTAGCAATGTGCTACGGTGTCTGATTAGGTGCTCATCAAAGCCCAAGGATCCAGGTTTGCACTAATAACAGCTTCAACGAAAGTTATACCGTTCTTGATATGGATACGGTACCCTTTAGCTGTATTCCTGAGCTCTGCACATCCTATGATTTCGTCTAAAATTAACCGCCCCAGCTACGTCAAACAATTATCGCAGCGGCCCGGCCGCTGCGTGCTATTTGGCGCCCCCCAAATTACGCTCCAAAATTGGAGACGGGCCTGACGCAAATAGTATCGCCTCGGAGTTTCCACATGACTTCTCGAAGGGGAGGTTCGGTTACGGTAGATGGTAAAAAAGAAGGCTTTTAAAAGTCTGCTCATTTTTAATAGTAGCTAGCTAACTTAGTAGCTTCGCTTCGTTCTTTCCAAATTTCTATAACAGAATTTAATGGAATTTCTGTAAAAAGAGCCGACTAGGTTGCGATTTTTTGGCCGATTCAGGTCAAGCAATGGCCCCCGTAAATCGGCTTAGGTTTACACTTGAGCGGGAGCAAGCGGTGGAGAGTTTGTCGGGGCGAGATAGGTTGCGAAATGCTTATCTTCTCCCACTTATTTGCAAGGTGCGGGAAAGGGGAAAGAAATTCCTGACGGCTCGGCTCGCCTCTGGCTACTCCACCTCCCCTTTTCACTCAACTGGACAGACACGTTGGCGGGTTGCCAGCTGTTGTTGAGGGCAAAGATCGGGATATGAATGATGCAATGAGAGGAGAGAGAGAGGGGAGGGAGGGCGAGAGAGAGAGAGAGAGAGAGAGAGAGAGAGAGAGAGCGAGTAAGAGAGTGAGAGAGTGAACATCTACTTCGAACTTGTTGCGGTGTGGTTAGTTAGGACTTAGACTTTGGCCTAGTTATAGGTTTGGCTTACAAGGAGTCGCTTTTAGGTGCTTTTGGAGTTTCGGGACGGGACCTAGCTGGTTCGATAGAGAAAAAAATTCTGAGCAACATACCATTTTCAAAAAGTGCTGATCGATAAAGGAATTCGAGAAAATTTAATTTAAAGTTCGCGATTTTTTTCTAGTTTTCGGGTCCATTTCCTGGGTTGTTGTCGGGGCTAGACCGGACACCATTCATAACCATCCGCCAAGGCATCCATCGCAGGTTGCATTGGCGTATTGGTAGCGCGCTTGCCTACCAACTTTTTAACTTTTTTTTGCCTCGGGTTCGAATCTTCGCGCTGGCTAAACCTTTGCTTTTTGGTTCTTGAACCCTTTATCGGTGCATAAAATTTTAATTAGCAAAAAAGCAAAGAGTTAACGATTAAAAGGCCGTCCGCCAGTCACTCGAACTGTTCCCATTATGGCTTGGCACAGTTTTTTCGACCCTATTTTTATGATGCCATCTGAAAGAGCGTGGCCGAATTGGTAGGGTGGCATAGTTTTGAAAGTTTAAAAAGTTTATTTTTGGGGTTTAAATGGCCGTTAAAGTTGCCGACATCGAAAACCTATCTCGAAAATTACTGGACCAAATTTGCCGAAAGTTTGTGACAATACCTAATTTGGGATGGAGATCATTTCTTTAATACATTTCAAAACTTCAAAATGGCCGGAACATAGGAATCTCGCGTACTAAAAACAGTTTTTTAAGATTATCTATTTAATGGGAAACTGGCGGCATCCTGAAAGTAACATAGAAAGATGCGCTAAATTTTTTTACATCGTATGATATGTTTTTTAGGATGCCGCCGTTTTCCCGTCATCTAGAAAAGTCGTGATCTCTGGAATCAACAAAAGTGGCCTTAGAAGATCGGGGGCTGAGAATGAGAAATATAACGGATTGCGGAAAGCATCTAGAGATCAATGCCACCCATTATTAAAAAAGAGCAAAATGAAATTCCTCATCTACGCGAAGTTGAGTACGGAGGGGAATCGAACCCGCGATGGTCCACCTGGGGGGCTCTGGGGACAGAGGCTGGAGGGCGCCGCCACCTCCCAGGCGAACGACCCGAGTTCAATCCCAGCCCCCTGTTAGAAACCGAATTTCTTTTTGCTCTTTTTTGCAATTGACTTGGCTGCGCTTCTAGAAGCAAGTGGATGGCTCCCCGTTTGAAATCTGGATATTTTTCTTTTTTTCATCAAGAAAATGCCGTTTTTACGGATGATGGGAAAACGGCGGCATCCTGAAAGACACATCATTCAACGTAGAAAAAATTGGCGCATCTTTCTATGCTATTTCCAGGATGCCGCCGATTTCCCATTAGGTAGAAAATCTTAAAAAACTGTTTTTAGTACGCGAGATTCCTATGTTACGGCCATTTTCAAGTTTTAAAATGTATTAGAGAAATGATCTCCATCCCAAATTAGGTATTGTCACAAATTTTCAGCAAGTTTGGTCCAGTAACTTTCGAGATAGGTTTTCGATGTCGGCAACTTTAACGGCCCTATAAACCCCAAAAATCAACTTTTTAAACTTTCAAAACTATATGGCCCCACTAATTTGATCATGCTCTATCCCATGGCGTCAAAAAAACAGGGTCGAAAAAAAACTGTGCCAAGCCTATTTCGGTCCTGCCGCAAACGGCCTTTTAATAAGAATCGAACTTGTGGCAAAAGGTAAAAAAAACTTCGTAGGCCAACGCACTAGCCACTTGGCCATGCCTTAGACGGGATCCATGACGCGTGAAGTCCCCATGTGGCAGGGGCGCTCGACCGCCGCAAATCACCTCAAATCACCACAAGGGTCCGGATACCGGGAACATTTTTAATTAAATTCAATTTTCTAAAACACCTTTATCGATCAGCACTTTTTGAAAACGGGATGTTGCTCAGAATTTTTTTCTCTATCGAACTAGCTAGGTCCCGTCCCGAAACTCCAAAAGCACCTAAAAGCGACTCCTTGTTAGGCTTAGGCTTAACGCTTGGGCTTAAGCTTAAGCTTGGGTTAAGCTTAGGCTTAGCTTAGAACTAGGCTTAGGCTGGTTAGGATAGGCTTAGACCTAGTATGGGCTTAGGCTTAGGCCTGGGTTAGACTTAGGCTCACGCTTAAGCTTAAGGTTAGGCATATGTTAGGCTTATACTTACAAGGGAAGTGCACGACCGGCCCACGAGAAATCGACACAAGACATAGTGGATCTGATAGAATCGGACACGGGGATTCCGAATCTGTAATCAGAATTTGCTAAATAAAACGGAGAAAAAAGTTATGAAGCATCAAAGTTGGCCAAATCGCCAAAAACGGTACCTTTAAGGGACTGTAAAAACCGGGGGAACGGAATTGAGAAGAAAAGAATTAGTGCATTTTGTTCAGCAGAAAAAGCGCTTTCGAATAAGCTGTAATATGTAGCATTTGCAAACAATTCACTGGAAAAAAGTTTTTTTGGATTCACGGGCAAGGGTATGGCCTGTCAAGTTCATAGAAGAGATTTTCGCGAGATCATCGTAAACTTGAAGTAAGATAGCTTATTCGAAAGCGCTTTTTCTCCTGAACAAGATGCACTAATGGGTTGTGGCAAATTTCCATTCCCTGGGCCTTTACAGGCCCATAAAAGTCCGATTTTGGGCCATTTTGCCAACTTTGAAGCTTCATAACTTTTTTCTCCGTTTTATTTAGCAAATTCTGATTACAGATTCGGAATTCCCGTGTCCTATTCTATCAGATCCACTATGTCTCGTGTCGATTTCTCGTGGGCCGGACGTGCACTTCCCTTGTTAGGCTTGCTTGACTGGGCTTAACCTGCTTAAATTTGGCTTAAGCTCGAGTTTCTTAAGCTAGTTCAGCCTTTTTCGGCTTCGTTTTTACCTTATCTAGCCCTAACACTTAGCCCATCCTCAAGGATCTCTGCGGCTCCAGTTCAATCTCCCGGCGCTGACACCTCAAGGCCAATCTCCTCCCTTCCACTCCTGTTCGCGGCGGGACCCCTCAGGTGGGATACAGTATGCCCCGTTTCAGGACGGATCTCATTCCATTCCGCTTGGTTACTCCTAGCGGCGTGCCAAGGCCACCCGGCGGCAAAGCAATGCTCGAAAAAGGTGGTTCTCAGGTGTTTTTCTCAGTTTTTCGGGGCAAGGTGGCTAAGCCTGACATTTTAAAGGGACCAGCAAGGCAAGAGAAGTGATGGATTCTGTCTTACGGGCACCATTAAATACCTAAAAGCTTAAATATCTATGCAAAACTGGTATTCACTAAAAAAAACAATAAAGGCGATTCGCAGGAGTTTTTGCTGGTTTTTAGCTCAGAATGTTATGGGCAAAATTATTTAAGGGACCGAAACGACAACGGAGGGATGGATTTCTGTCTTCTGAGTGACTTCACACGCCTAAAAACTAAAATATCGATTTAAACTGGCAAGTATCGCAAAAGCAATAAGCTTCAAAAGTTTATAGAGCCATTTAAAAATATTACCGAACCATTTTTCTCAACTTTCGCGTCAATTTGAACCCAAAAAAAATCATTAAAGGCATCGGAACGCATGAAAAGTTATGGATTTTTGCCTCACACGTGACGTTACAGGTTACGTGACGTTCGTCAAAAGGACTAAAAAGACAAGAAAACCAAAATTACACTGCATTAAAAAATCCACAAAATCGTAAAAGATTTTAATTTAATTCTTAGAAGTTAGAAACTTTTAAAATAATGACCAGCCGCCTACGTGCCCGACGCGTGTATTGGGATGAAGCCGTGGGCAGCCGTGGAAGGGAGGGAAAGCGGGGAAGGCCGGGGCACATCGACCCGAAGGGGGCGAGAGAACATTGTTTGTGGGGAGAGAGCAGGCAGGTAGAGCGAGAGAGAGAGAGAGAGAGAGAGAGAGAGCGAGAGAGAGAGAAGCGGAAGCAAGAGACGAGAAAACTCGAAACGGCAATATTTGGCCAGTCGACCCACGGAATTTGGACTTTAAAGGGTCGTCTAGAGGGGGAGGGATAGCAGAGAAAATTTGAGAACCTGTATTTTTGATTAAATCTCTCTTTAAAAGGTAATATAAGCAACAATCGTTGCACCTAAATTTGTCGAAAGTCGAAGTCAAATTCTGCCCGTTTGAGATTTCGACAAGTAGGCTAGCATAGACCATTTAGGAATTAGAAGCGATATGAATGAGACAAACGAACCTCTGTCTTTATTTTTTCAAAAATTCTTCACGTTTGGGTTCCTTTAAAAAAATTGTTTTCCTAAAACATCCGTATTTTAAACCCGATTTACAATTTCGCCCTAAAACCAAAGACCAACAAGAATTCCCAGAGGTCCTAGAAGCTATTTTCTACTTCCAGCACGACATCTTCAGGCCAATAGCGTTCCCGGCAGTTTCACGTCATTCGATGAGGCGCTGGCCGAGGCTCCACGCACTCTCCTCTTTCTCCTTCTCTCCCTCTCTTTTGCTCTTGTCTCTCCTCTTTTGGGTGCTCTCTAGCTCCTTTGGGGATGGCGCCACCCGGTTGGTCGATGAGTCACAACTACACCTGACAACAAATATTCGCTCCTTCTCTCTCTCTCGCTCTCTCTCTCTCTCTCTCGTGAAAGGCTTGCGGAACTTCAGCATTTTCAGTGGGTCGAACGATCTTTGATCGACTGCAATAAAAACTACCAAAATTCCTCAATAATCTCTGCTAGCTTGCCCCACAACCCGGCTTGAAAAATCGCAAAGAATCTCTGCTAGCTCGCCCATGCTCTGGCGACGTGATCTAAGATAACAATGCAGGCAAAACGCTTTATTAATAAATTACCCACTATACAGACTCAGATTTGTACTGGAAAACGGGAACACCCTGCATGCCGGAAGCGAAGACGCCCTGGACGTAGGCCTGAAAATAGTAAATATTCCTAAGCCTAAGCCTAAGCCCTTGGCCTAAGGCGGGCCCAAGCCAAGTCTAAGCCTGAGCCAAGTAGCCATGCCTAAGCCTAAGCCGGGCCTAACCTAAGCCTAAGCCGAAGCCAAGCCTAAGCATAAGCCAAGCCCAAGCCCAAGCCAAGTCTAAGCCGAAGCCAAGCCTAAGCCTAATCCTAAGCCTAACTAAGCCTCAGCCAAAGCCAAGCCAAAGCTTCAGCCCAAGCCCAAACCTAAGTGAGCTTAAGCTCAAGCCACGCGAAAGCCAAAGCCCAAGTAAGCTAAAGCTTAAGCCTAAGCCTAACCTATCCGTTCGTAAGCCCAGACCTATGCCTAAGCCAAAGCTAAGCCTAACGTAACGTAGCCGAAACGTACCCCTGCTGCTGCGACATATTTATCAGCTTCTGCTTGCACTGACAAATCCATAATTCCGTCGGTGGCCTTTTCACATCTTGAGAACGGGATCTGCCCTCCCTGCCACATCTGGGAATTCGCGACTAAACTGAATTAATTAGACTTCTGCTCTATTTTTGATGGACGCATTAATAGACTGAATTTGAAGCCTATTAATGCGGAAATAGAAAATATTTCAATTCTAAACTTTTCTTACCAACGTTCGTCATCGCGAAGTCGTTCTGGTCAATCTTGGCGGCCGCCGAACCGAGCACTCCGTAGCGAAGGATTTTTTTGGGCAGATCTACAACAATCAGTCGATAAAACTGGGTTTCCGGGTCCTTTAAAACATGTCGATGAACATCGGCCGTACCGGGTTCAGCAGCAACGGGGCGGCCAAGTCCGACAGCGTCACATTTTCCATCTTGGATTACGGCGGCCATCCACTAAACGAGATAATTGAGGTCGAGAGAGCGAGAGGGAGAGAGAGAGGGAGAACGAGAGAGAGAGAGAGAGAGAGAGAGAGAGAGAGAGAGAGTGAGAAATAAGAATATACCTTGGCCGTCCTAAACCCGCCGGTCACCACCATCCGCGTCTTCTGGAAGACCGGTCGAAGCTGGAATGATAAGGGCAATTCCCGCCATAAAATCTTAGTGTCACGCTGCCTTTAAAACTAACCTGATCGGTAAACTCGAGAAAATAGGCTTCTCTGGCCTTGGTAGAGTCGCGGACGTGGGCGAAGACGAGCTTCTCGTAAGTGCCTCCGGACATCTCGACGAAGTCGTACCCACGGTCCTGAAACGACGAGGATCTCGAAAGCTAGCTGGCAGAGAGCATTGAGGAACAAAAAGGAGACTAGCAGAGGCCATTGGAGCAAACCTCATCACTTTAAACACCAACCTCTAACAATTGGCACATAGTTTTCGCATCCTCCATGCTCAAGCCGCCCTCCTGGAATTCCACCGAGTTCATCTTCAGCCCGACGATAAATTGGGCTGAGGCGGGAATGCGCTTTCTGACAATACGATTCAGGAATACAATTTCCTAGAAAATTCGATACCGTATCGCGTCGTAGATCTCAAGCACGACGCGGACCCTATTTTCTGGAGTTCCACCATAAGCATCTGTTCGTCTATTCGTGGTAGGGGACATGAATTGAGCCAAAAGGTAGCCGTGGGCTCCCATCAGCTCGATCCCGTCGAACCCTAAAGCATGGAAATTTTAAAGGAACCTGGAAGTCACAGCTTTATACGGTTTCCGGACAAAGCAGCTAAATCCAAAAAAAAAACGAGAAAAACAAATTTTTTAGCTTTTTCAGACAATTTTAAGGAAATTTGATGTTGTAATCGGAGCAATTCTTGCCTCCCAAACCCCTTTAACAATAATTTGCGGCTACGATAGCTCACCGGCTTTATAGGCTTCTTCTGCTGCATATGCAAATCGCTCGACGACGTCGGTGCGAATTTCTTCTTCTGCAAAAAAATTCTCTCTCTCTCTCTCTCTCTCTCTCTCTCTGTCGCTCTCTCACCCTCACTCTCTCTCTCTCTCTTTCTCCCTCTCTTTCTCCCTCTCTTTCTCTCTTTCTCCCTCTCTCGCACTCTCTCCTACACACCCACCAGTGTACGGTATAGGTTTTCCGAAACTGAAATTCCTCCTCCTCCCCGTCAACTGGACATCCGAGCAGCTCCTGGGATGCAAATTCACATTCTCGGCCGTCTGTCGGCCTGCCTAAATTCTGCCCTATTACCGTAACCCGAGAAAGACGCACGTGCGTCAATTGTGCTAAGGCTAGTGCTCCATCGGCCTTGCAATTATTGGCAAATCTCCTTAGCAGCTCGTCTCTTTTCGGGCCCTCATTCTCCCGGGCGATGATCACGTTTCCCGCGGATTCGAGGTGAAGCTGAATAGCTAGATCAAACCGTGTAAGAGCGTAACCCTAAGCCTAAGCCTAAGCCTAAGCCTAAGCCTAAACCTAAGCCTTACCGGATCCACAGCAATATTCCCGGTCAACACGATGCCGAACCCTCCATTGCCCCACTTCTCGTACATCGTAAGCACCGTTTCTGAGGGCAGCCCATGCTCAGCCGGGGTGTCCGGGCAGAAGCTGCTCAACATCTCCGTCATAGCTGACTAGAAATTGGGTAATAATCCTACCTTATATAATTTGGTCGCGTATCTTTGTGTGTGTGTGTGTGTGGATGTCACTTTCGAGGCCCGATTTGAGGGCCTTCCCGTGTCCAAAATGCCCTAATTCTCCGTCACCCGGGGGAATCGACCCTCCTCTTCCCGATGGCGTTTTCAGAACCCCGATAAAATACAAGTTTACAAAGTTAAAGCCGGTTTTATTGATTTTTGGGGGTCCGGGAGGGCTAATTTGCATAATGTGAAAAAATACAAATTTCCTCATTCTTGCCAGTTGCACTCGCGAGTTTGGTCGTCTCTTTGGATCTGCCTCTCGATGCCTTTCCTTCCCCTGCCCCGGGCCGCCCCTTGAGACATAAAGGGGTGTTTGGCGTGCGCTACCAAGCATTGCATGGTGTAGTGGTTAGCGCGTTGCCATGCGAATCTAACCATCGGAGGTTCGATCCTCGGATATCTTAGTTGTTTTGCTTTTTTGCTCGGAAAGTGCGTTTCGGAGTGGACTTCCGTGTAGGGACGTTATTATGAAGTTAGTCACTCAAATCTGCGCCGCAGGCTAACGAATCCAGTCAGGCGCTGAAACTAGCGCCGCAGGCTTAAGCATGAAGCTAACCTCCCAAGCTAGCGCCGCAGGCTTAGAACGAAGCTAGCCGCTCAAGCTGCGCCGCAGGCTTTAGAACGAAGCTAGCCGCTCAAGCTTAGCGCCGCAGGCTTTTAGAACGAAGCTAGCCGCTCAAGCTGCGCCGCAGGCTTTAGAACGAAGCTAGCCGCTCAAGCTTGCGCCGCAGGCTTTTAGAACGAAGCTAGCCGCTCAAGCTTGCGCCGCAGGCTTTTAGAACAAGCTAGCCGCTCAAGCTTGCGCCGCAGGCTTTTAGAACGAAGCTAGCCGCTCAAGCTTGCGCCGCAGGCTTTAGAACGAAGCTAGCCGCTCAAGCTTGCGCCGCAGGCTTTTAGAACGAAGCTAGCCGCTCAAGCTGCGCCGCAGGCTTTTAGAACGAAGCTAGCCGCTCAAGCTTGCGCCGCAGGCTTTAGAACGAAGCTAGCCGCTCAAGCTTGCGCCGCAGGCTTTAGAACGAAGCTAGCCGCTCAAGCTTGCGCCGCAGGCTTTAGAACGAAGCTAGCCGCTCGAAGCTAGCGCCGCAGGCTTTAGAACGAAGCTAGCCGCTCAAGCTTGCGCCGCAAGCTTTTAGAACGAAGCTAGCCGCTCAAGCTAGCGCCGCAGGCTTTAGAACGAAGCTAGCCCGCTCAAGCTTGCGCCGCAGGCTAAGGATGCCCAACCTTTTCGGGGCTCAATAAGCAAAAACCGTGCCACGGGTGGGGGTCGAACCCGGGACCTACGTTTTGTAGCCTAGATGCTATCCATTAGGCCATAGGGGCAAGCTCATTGGATGGGATGGGAACGTCACAAGAGGGAAAGGGGGTCCTAATTCGGTGCGGCTTTGAGGCCCATTGTTGCACAAAATTCGCGCGTCATTTGTACTGCCCGGAATACATAACTATATATTTGCCGACGAAACATTGGGTATCCCTTTAAAGAAGGAGGTAACCGCTCAAGCTAGCGCCGCAGTTTTAGAACGAAGCTAGCCGCTCAAGCTCGCGCCGCATGTTTTAGAAGGAAGCTAGCCGTACAAGCTCGCGCCGCAGGCTTTAGAACGAAGCTAGCCGCTCAAGCTCGCGCCGCAGGCTTTAGAAGGAAGCTAGCCGTACAAGCTCGCGCCGCAGGCTTTAGAACGAAGCTAGCCGTACAAGCTCGCGCCGCAGGCCAAAAAAGGAAGCTAATCCCTCAAGCTTGGGCCGCAGGATGAGGTAGCGGCGTGCCGATCAAACATGCGCCGCAGGCCTAATAACGAGACTAGCAGCTTGCGTGAGCTGCATGAGAGATGCGTTTTTCTTTCGTGGAAACTTTATGTGGAAGGGCGCTCGATTCATAGGGCCTAGACGGGGTCCAGCGGGGGAGAGTCGCGAAGCGGCTCCTCCCCCGCTGGTCCTACTCTATATAAAAAAATAGTGTTTGTGTGTGTGTGTATATTTGCATGCACTTCCGTTTGGATGTTCCGCACCTACAGCCTCAGGGAAGCATTTTTTCGGTAGGGCAGAAACGTCTTAGGGTAAAGAAGGGGCCGGAATCGACTGCACACACATAAAAGTTTTGAAAAATTGCTATTTTCGATATTAAAATTATGTTTTTGTAAAGTTTTCGGCCAATCTCTTTGTTAGGAAGCAATTAGCATACGCCGGAAGTGGAAATGGTTTATGAAAAGGAAGAGAGGGCGCGCTTTTCATTTTTGGTGAGCGGTTTTCGGCAAGAATTATGCCAAGTCAATAACTTCATCGATCCTAGACGGGGCCAGGGTTGAAAATCCGCGAAGCGGTTTTTCAACCCTGGTTAACTAATTATTAAAACCGGCGAGACCATACCTTGAAAATTCGATTTCTGGCCGATTTTCCGGAATTGAACCACAAGGGCTCGGCTAGGATCGACACGTCCACATCTTCACAGGGAAGTCTCTCGGCCACCATCTTGGGATACGGTAAGTCTGGCGTGAAACTGCAAAGAAAACTAGTCGATTTTCATAAGCAATAATTTTCAGAGCGCAATTTGAAGCACTGTTCCAAAATGTTCTCGGTTCCAGATGTCGGGGCGCGTTATATATGCGGTCAAAATCATCAGCCGACAAAGATCATTGCTGCGTTGAAACGGAAGAAAGAGAGAGAGAGAGAGAGAGAGAGAGAGAGAGAGCGAGAGAGAGAACGAGAAACCATACCAACGTGGTGACCGACCGGGGCTGCACAGACTAGAAACCCCCCCACCCGAAAATCATCCTCCGCCTGGACCTGGACCGTGCTGCCCGAAAACTTTTTAAAGTAAAAAAAGCATGGCTTTTCTAAATCCTTTGCCTATAACTTTGGTCTCAGAACCTTCTTTTCTTCCGGTTTGTCTCCATTTACTTTTTTCTGGATTTCTGGATGGATGGATTTCGTGAGCCATCTATACCCAGTCGACGGATGGGACGTTTTTTACGATTTCTAGCGCCTTTAGACGTTTAGTTTGCACCTAGGATGATCTCAAGCAACGGCTTACAACGGTATTTTCTAATCTTTTGGCCTCGATGCCAGCCGGAAACTCAAAAAAGGAAGGAAGGTTTCATTGTAGCGAAAAATTGCTTGGAAACTTTGCTTTATTGAGTACTTTCCAATTTATCGACTGTTTTCGGGTCCGAGGACCGTCTATATTTTTCCGGAACCGGCTAAGTGTACTGAGGAGGGCGGCGATTATTGCATAGAGACGACTTAAGTAATTTTCAAGCGTTTTTGAGAAGATTGCCTGGAAGAGGCTTCTCCTGAAATAGGTAAATTTCAGCTGAATCTCTTCTCGCTGTGGGTCTACCGGTGTTTAAAGTATACCAAAACGCTCGTCTTGCTCTGGCGAGTATTTTGGTATACTTGACGGGTCTTTAGGACAAGAGCTAGCCGAGATACAGTAGGCCTGGCTCGGCTTCGGTTTAGCCGTTTTACCATACCTTTTTGCTGTATTTGTATTAAAGTTTGGAGTGCATTTTTTACAACCAATTTTGCATGAACGAATCGTTTATTCTGGATTGACCAGGTCGACCTGCTTCCAAATCTAATGACGGAAGACAGAGCGAGCGGGACAAGCGCAGTAGGCGGCATCGGGTCCGGGCATGCCGTCGGCTCCGGGCTCTCCAGGCTGTCCGGGCTGTCCATCTTGGCCGGGCTGTCCATCGGGGCCAGCGGGTCCAGCGGGTCCATCCTGGCCATCGTTTCCGGGGGCTCCATCCTGTCCCTTGGGTCCAGCGGGTCCAGGGCGTCCGGGCTGTCCGGGGCGTCCAGGCTGTCCGGGGGTAGCGACGGTTCCGGGGCGTCCAGGCTGTCCAGGGCGTCCATCCTGGCCGGGCTGGCCGGGCTGTCCAGGCTCTCCGGGCTCTCCTCGGGCTCCAGGGTGCGAGTCTTGTCCCTTGGGTCCCATGGGTCCCTTGGGTCCGGGGTTTCCAGCGGGTCCGGGCTGTCCAGAGGGTCCAGGGGGTCCGGGGGGTCCCTCGGGGCAAGTGATGCATCCGCCGGGGATATCGTGGGTGGCAGCAAGGGAGATTCCAGGGGCGCCAGGGCGTCCATCGTCTCCGGGGAGTCCATCATCTCCACGAGGTCCAGGGGTACCGGGAGGTCCGGGAGGTCCAGCGGGGCATCCACGAGATTGGGGTCCGCAGTTGCAGGTCTCTGGGGCCTGACGCTTTCCACGGCGGATGCCGACGACGGATTGGAAGGTGGCACGGGGGGCGGGGACGGCGGCAGAGCCAACGACGGGCATTCCCATCATGCGCTCCCAGGTGTCGTCGGCCATCATCTGCAACAAGGGCGGGTTTTTCAAGCTAGGTAAGCTAAGTAGGCTAAGCCTAAGTCTAAGTCTCAGCTAAGCAACGCACCTTAACCTCGAACATGTTCTTCTCGACGTCAGTCTGGAGGTCGTTGAGGTCGCGGACGATCATGCCGACCGAGACGAGAGACACTAGCACGACGGCTAGAGACGCGGCGGAGGCCACGCCGACAGCAAACGACATCTGCAAGGAGGACGGGTTGAAAACGGCACACAAAAGCCAAAAATAACCCCAAAAACTCAAGATCTTCTGAAGCTACTGAAGTCAAAAAAGCCAAGTCGGTCAAAATTTTAAATAAGGGAGCAGCAGCTTTTCAGCATTTGCTGTAGATGCGTATGCCAAAGCAAAGCCTAAACTTCAGTCAAAACGTGTTCCTAGGCCTAACCCGAGCCAAAGCATAAGCCTAACCGAAGCTAAGCCCAGTCGAAGCTTAGATGCAATCCTAAGTTCAAAGCTAAGCCTAACTTAAGCCTAAGCCGAAGCCTAAGCCTAAGCCCAAGTTCGCCTAAGCCCAATCCTAATCCTACAGTACCCAAAACCGCCCAAAAACTCACATTTGTTGTTGGAAGCGGAGAGTTGCTTGCCCTCCTCGGCCCCAGCCGTCCTTATATACTCGGTATCTCCAGTCAGTTACCCAAGGAATCCCAATGCCATTCGAGTGATAAAAAGCGAGCGGTGTCGGGATATCGGCTCGGCCGGGTCGGAAAAAGCGATATCCCATCCCTTTTTTGGGGCGCGCAGGGGTCCGTTTTTGCCCCGGCAGCGCGGTTCGGCCCGCCGAAAAACGGAATGCTACCCGGGGATTGACCTTGAGAGATGCGGGGGCGCGAACGTAAAAAGTTAGCTGGGTGGCTGGCAGATACCGGGAAAAACAGGCGATCCGGGACGGGGTCCCGGCCGGACCGGGAAGTGGTAGTCTATCAGGGGCGACAAAACTTGTACATTTGAAGCGTTCGCGGGATTGTGTGTTACAAGCCTAGCTTCGCAATACCTTATATTGCTACGGTAGCTTGGCGTAGCATCGGCTTCGCTTAATTCATAGTTCTGAAACATCGATTTATCTCAAATCGAATTTTTTTCAAAATCAGCGATCAATAATACGGTATTTCGCAGGTCGCTATATTTAAAGGGCTATTTTATACATAGTAGGATGCTGCATTCTGGCATCCCGTAGTGAAGGATTTTGGTAGTTTGAAATTTTATAGAATTGGTATATTTCTACAAAATTGTCATTTAGATTTTCTACGTCTAGGTAAACTAATCCTTAATCTCTAACAATTAATTTAATTATCAACTGGCATGCCAGATTTTTTAAAGATATTCTAAAATAGAATTGTGTGGTTCACTGTAATTGGCATGTTCACTGTAATTCTGCGTTAGATGATACAACTCGTCTCCATCCATTTATTGGCATAGGCGAAATGAGTGAACGGAGCACACAGTCTATATCACATCGTACCAAATATAGGGTGCATCAGTGACAAAACAGGGGAGGGGGTACACAAAAATCAGTTCAAGGCAAACGGCTTATTAAAACAAACAAAAAAAGATCATCTGGCCGTGCGTGAGTTCCGCTCATCGGCAAGGCATCAAGTGTTTTTTGGTGGGCCCAGAGAGCGCGAATTACTTCTCCAAGTAGACAAAAAAAAGGTATCGCATCAACGAATCGATTTTCTTAGTATTCAGATTATGGAACGTACGCTACGATACGCAACGACGACGGGGGATATCCGGTTAGTGCGCGCAACTGAGCAATTCGAAAAGATCATCATCCCGGAGTTACCACAGTTTTCCTAGAGGCATAAATAGATACTTGTAATGCTCCGCAAAAAAATCACACACACTTTTTTTGGGGTGGGGTTTATTTTTTCAGTGTTTTCGGGATTTTTTCGATTTTTGCAAAGTCATGATGGGCAGAGGGGGTGCTGGTTCATTAGCGGGGGGGTTAAATTATCCTGTTTCCTATAAAAACAAGCCGGTTTGAGAATAATTTGCAACGTTTTAAGGCATAAAAAGTTCGGCAAAAATGTGCCATTTTGCGCATTTTCAATTTTTTTAAGTGTTTTTAGTGATCGGGAACTATTAAACACTACAAAAAATTAGCTATTTTTTGCTACGATAGAAAATTAGCTCCCCCCCCCCGATAACGAACCAGCACCGGCCAAAAACTTAACGATGTGCGGCACCTAATAGAACTTTGTGAGAACCAATCAGTTAGGGCGAGAGGGAGGAATATAGAGGGGGATGAGCACACGAGTAATCAAAATCCGTTATGGAGAGAATTCACAGGGTTTGGAGGGGGTTTTGGTGGAAGGGGAGGGTAGTATCATAGATCTGGGTGGTAGTCATCCCATCTTGATCAGGTTGAGCATGTTCTCGGCGACGCGGCTGATGATGTGGCAAGCGCGGCGCGTCTGCTGATCGGTGGCGCGGGAGCGTAGTTCTGAAAAAGGAGTTTAAAATAAAAAAAAACCTGCAAAAATTGGGCCAAAAGCTTGAAAAATACAAGGCATTTATCAAAAAGGCGCTTTTCTTTTAGCAGGGGGCGGGGGGTAATTTATAGATTTTCAAATCAGCGAGACGACACTGACATATAGTAAGTTTTATGGTGTTTCGATGGTTTTTGATAACAACAAGACGACAAACTCCACGGAATTCCTCTAAAAATTGAAACCATACTTGTGAGCTCTCCAAGTAGCACCGTAAGTACTCCAGGGACATGAAGCGCCGTCTCCGGATCGTAGACACTGATCGCCGGAAGCACGAATTCCATGAATCTAAAAAATTCAATTTTAGCTCTACTAAAAACTCCAAAATACCTGAATTTCAAATCGGACTCCCGGTCGAGGTCCCGGGTGAGCTGCTGGAGAAGCGGGAGGAGGACAGCTTGGGAGAGCACGTTATCCTAAATTGATTTCTACACTTTTTCAAGAAAAATTATTACATTGGAAAAGAACTCGTCGGGGTTGACCTGGTGGAGGACGTAGAGTAGGGCTTCTTCGTCGGCCAGATTGAGCGCCTAAAATCATGTAAAAATTTTCTAGAATAACTGAAAAAAAATACAGGCTATTATTTTTCCAAGCCCGATAGTTTCGAGAAATCAATTTTCGAAACCAGAATTTCGACAAAATTTTATCGGTATTTCCGGCTCCCCGTGAGCTTTGGGATTAGTAGCTGGACGGAAATTGTTGGAAATTCTGAGTTTGCATGTTTTTTGCAAAATGAATGTTTGAAAAGCGAGCTTGAAAATGATTTTTTGAAATTGTTCCTAGAAATCGAGGCACAAAAACTTTAGTTTTATAAAACAAAAACCCACATGTTCGAACGCAGCCGGGATATTTCCGGTCTGCAACAACGCATGGAGCTGCTGCACGATCAGCTGTCGCTCGGAGGGCACCGGCGCCGGGGTGGCCGATTCGACAGTGGCTTGTTGTAGGGTGCGTAGCTAAAAAAAATCCGAATTCTTGTTTTTCTCGAAGAATACGAAAAATTGAGGAAAAGAATAAATTGCCTACCTGACTCAAGTACTGCTCAATGCCCAGCCGGAAGTGCTCGTTCAACTGGACGAAAAGCTGCCCGCAAGTGCGCTCGATGGCCGGAACCAGGAGCTGCAAAAATGGGTTTAGAAGTCAAAAATTTTTTCTCTACCTGCTGAATGGCCTCGCGCATCTTCTCGTGCACGCGCTGATTGATCATTTCGGAGACGTGCTAAAAATAGAAAATGATAACATTTTCGCTAAATTAAAATAAACTTTAGTTTAATTAAATTAAAACCCACCTTGTTATTGGCCTGTATTTGGGTCTCAAGCGACAGCGAATTTTCGTTGAGCGAACTTCGCACCTAAAATTCGGAAATTTCAAGACAACATTGAATTTTTCTTACCGTAGAAATCGTGTGGTCCCTCGTTTGCTGCACGCACTCGTTCACGTTGGCTATTAGACGCTCCTCGCGCAACGACATTTCCTCTTCTAAAATCCATACACTTAGATTAGACAGCTTCACTTACTAAATTGCTGCATCATTCTCAGCAACTCCTCGTTTCCGGTGGAATTGCGACGGAGCAGCTCGGCTTGTTCAGCACGGTCAGCCCTGAACAAGTCAAATACATAAAAAATGACGTTCTTGGTCAATTTCAAACCGTTGCATAGATGCCAATTTTCTCTAACTACATATAAACACAAATAAAAAACTATCAGGAACAAAATTTCAATTTGTAAGCATTTTTTCTCATCTTTTAACAAAAATCTTCCTCTTAAAATACGGCTAGATTTGGTGAAAAAACGATTTTTTTAGACAGACGCTGCTACAGAGCCAGAACCGCGTTAATTTGTAACATACCTCGCCACCAGCTTCTCCACCTTTGCGTTCAACTCCTCCAGTTGGGAGCGCATCTCGGTGATGCCCTGCAGCGGGGCCGCGCCGGCGATTTGGAGCAGTCCACCCCCGTTTCCGGTTGAGGATGACGGGCCAGGGACCATGGCAAATCTGAAAATTCAACATTTTAATTGAAAAGTCGTATAACCTATAGCAAATCTGTCATTTTAAAAATTAAAAAAACCTACTGTTCTTTCTGCTGCCCGACGTCAATCATATCAATTGTCGGCAAATATTGAGCGGTCCGCTCCACGGTGATGTCAAGCTAAATCGAGAAAAAGTTACTAACATTTTTTATGTATCCCACCTGCACCAAATTTTTATAGTTGATGCCACAGAGATGGAGGATCACTTTGTTGCCGTCATTATCGCCATCGTCCTCGTCGTCAAACGTCGAGCCGCCATCATCTAAAAAGAGCAATATTAATTAAGACAAACGAATAAAATGAAAGTTAATGTCAAAAAATAATAACACTAACCCTCTGTCTGCTCGCCAAAGGTGATTCCAAACGGCACGGCAGTTACGAGCGGATGGCAAAAGGCAATCTAAAGATCTTAATTCACAAAATTTAAAAATTTAAAAATACCTGTGTAACCGCAGAAAATTTGGGGTAAACCTGGCTGTAGTCTAACTCAACGCAGAAGATGTTCTAAAACAAGACATAAAGCTCAAATTTCAGCCAAACCGCTCCATCCACGTCGACGATAATGATGTAGCGGGACGAGCGATCAAGGTGGATATGAAGCGGGACGCCTTGAAGTGGGGAGTCGAGCCTAAAAACTTTTTGCGTGTTTTAATTCCCAATTTTAGATTTTTATAACCAGATTTTCTTTCCAAATAAAAAGCTATCTCACCTCAATCGCCCCAGACAGCTCCAGTTCTCGCAGTCAAACAGGTGGATCCTCCGGCCACTGTCCCCAACGGCCACGCAAAACTTCCAGAATTGTTCCCTGATCAAAATTTAATAAAATTAGCAAATTCGCATACTCGGATTTGTCTGCGGCGGCGATGTTGTCGATGAAAAAGAGCTGGGAAACCACGTGCCCTCCAAAATCTGGGCGCCATGTTTGAGCGATCCTAAATAAGATTTCCAATTAAAATTTTCCAGACAGACTTTTGCTCGTTTTCAATCATGTAGAAGAGTACGGTTCCGTCATTCACTGCAACGGCCACCGCTGTGGCGTCCGGGGAAATGGACATTGCCGTGATTTCTTTGCTCTAAAAAGGGTTTTCTTATGGTTTTTTAGACATAACAAGGCGTCATTTCTTAATTGATACCCCAGTTTACTGTGAATATGTAGCTCATTTTATAGTCTGCCAATTTTTGGACCACTTTGAACAAAATTCGGTTTCATGTGAAATTTTTGGTCGAAAATTGTGATCTTCCAGTTGTTTTGGAAATATACAGCTTGTTCAAAATCCAAGCTTTATAGAATGAGCTATAAATCGTCTCGTAAAATGTCATTACGACCTCAAAACGACTTGTTGCAAAGTAAAAAACCCACCTCATCAACTTGAATCCTCCAAACGGCTTTCTCAATATCGAGCGCTTTGTCGAGCGTCGTATCGTAGCCATCAACCACATCCGGCGATCGAATTTCGGACAGGTTGTAGATTATGACGCGGTTTTTCTGAGCCCAAATTATGATTTGTATGTCTAAAATTACCTCGTAGACGGCAACCATATGCAATTCTTCATCATCCTCGTCCGGCACATAGCCGCACCAGCTGATCTTCGGAGACTCCCACTGGAAATCCTGCCCCGAGTACATGATGTTGAGGTACTTTTGACTGAATTTAAACTTAAATAAACAGAGAGAGTTTGAGCTTACACTTGGCATTGTGGGGTGACCTGGTAGATGTAGAGATTTCCCAAAACATCTACAATACCGAGTAGAGGTGTGTGAGGGGCCCAGGCGACGTCAGCGGTGGGTGCGCGGAAGCCCTAAAAAGGCGCAAGTTGAGAAAAGGCTTAAAACGAGCAGTTTTAGGGGCTAATGCCCCTTCTCACAATATATATTTCGTGAATCGGAGCTAAAATAAGCGAAATTGGCCCTTTCAGAGCGATTTTCTCCAAATCTGTTCAAATCGAGCGGTTTTTGAAAGCGCGGATCTGTTCAGAAATTAAACTCGATCGAATGGTCTATATAGAATCACCAAAACCATATCACCACCTAAATTATCAGGTGTTTTTTTTCGAAATATACCTTGATGAGCTGTCTCTGCTTGCTCTCCCTCTCCATCACGCGCACAGCATCGACATCCCCATCAGCCGGAACATTTCGGTAGGCGATCAGCGTGTCGCGAACGTCCATCAGATTTCCCCCAATGTCGCGACGCTTTAGATTATTGATAAGATTTTGATGACCGTTACTTACCTCCCATTTGTACTCGGAAATGATTTGGGTCCGCACGCGGGCACAGTCTCGTTCGCGAGTGCGCGTCTCCTCGATCGACAGCACCACGTTTCTACCCGACTTGAATCGCAGCACGCCGTCGGCCCCAGTGAGCACGCTGAAAAGAGTGATTTCTAGGTAAATAAGAGAGTTTTGTGTTATAATATAGTTCACTCGATAGGATTTGAAATCACGAACATGCCCGAAAAAAACGGGGTTTTTTCAGAGCAAAATTTCTCCAAGAACATTATCGATTATTGGTTTTCCAAGTTGAGATTCGTACAGAATTTTAAGCTCTATCGTGAGCTACGTGCTATCGCGAATTTGAAAGCAGATTTATAGAAAGAAACTCACTGCTTCTCCCAAAAGTTGTTGGGGGAGAGAGCACCCGCTGGAGAGACCAGCTCACCCATGCTGCAAAAAAAAGTTATAAGTCACTATTTCAAATTACGAAAAATAACGTTTCAGTAGAAACAATTTAAAAGTAAGTCGCCGGGTTAAAACCGGCAATTAAACAACTATTTTTCGACAAAAAAAAACTCGGCTCATATTTTATTAATACACACAAAGATCATTGAAAATATCTACAGGGTAATGTTCAAGTAGGCAGGGGAACAGCAAGTAAGGCAAGAATAGACATTAGAGCTGACTAGAAACTAAAGCGAAAATGGCAAAAATAAAATAATGAGATCAGTGCAGCCCGACGGAAGCCATACTGTCGGAGACGCTGGTGGACGAATCGCTGTGGCAGTACTGCTGCAAGAAGAGGGAGGGCACCCAGTACTGCACTGGCTCCGTCTGCTCGTCCGTCCAGGCCAAGCCCTCCTTCACCAGATGATCGAGCGCCGATTGAGCACGAGCCGGGCTCCATCTGAAAGTGTTTGTATGAGGCGCTTGCCGTTTAACGACAGCCAATTTTTATTTTTTCCGCCTATACCCAATTGTAAACAATGCCTAGGCGTTTGAATACTTCTTATAGTACTTCACAATTGCTATGGAACTTTTTAACCAGATACATTTCGGCCTAAAAGACGTATATTGAACGTCTTCTTAATTTGTTTTATCGGCTTTTCAACCTTAAAAACTGTGCAAAATGTTACAAAAATACTCTATATTTTGTTGGAAACTGCTAAAACCAATTGAAAATAGGCTGTTTAATGCCGTAGGCCGGATAAAGAAAGTTTGTTTCCTCTCCACGCTAATAAACCAGAACTGTTAACGGAATGTAATGCATAAACGCAAAACTACCTCAAGCGATCAATCACCAACTCCTTCGTGGTGTAGGCGGCTTCTTCAGCGAGCTCCAGCACCCGCAGGTGGTCCATCGAAAGCTCTCCTAAAATCGATGTTTGTGTCCAGGTGGCGCCCTAACCTGGAATCGACTGTACCAGAAAGCGTCCACCGCCCAGTGGGATCCGCTCGAACCCGGCGCCGAGGACCTAAAAAATGGAAAATCTCAGCTTCTTCAATGTGTCTACCTTCAATTTATCGACGGCCCTCAAAATATCGTCAATGGTAATGGTCTCCTTGCGATAACGGCTTCGGCTCCGCATCAACCTATTCCGGATCTCTTCAACTGTCATAATGCCTCCATTCAAGTGATTTGTAGACAGGCAGACCTAAAAAATAATCGTCTTTGCACAAATGAGCCCACCTCAACGATCTGGACGGCCAATTCGTAATAAAAATCGCCAACGCCTAGCTTCTCGGCCCAAAACCCCTTTCCAGAGGCCAAGGGATCGACTCCCACCGTGGCGCACATATCCTAAAAACAACTACTTGTTAAATTGCGCATCCCTACCTGGAAATGACGTCGGAATTGAGAGTTCTTCCTGATCTCATCCCTGTGCTTCCGGGCAAACTCCTCCAACCGTGATGTGAACTCATCGAGCTGTGCGGAAAACAGCCGCAGTTGCTCTCCGGCTAGTTCGCTGCCTTTTTGCGAAAATTTGGCCTGGAAAGTAAAATTGAGCAAGAGTCGGAAATTCTCAGCCACTGGAAACGCTGTATCACTAACCTGGATCTCCTGCTTTCTCTGAATGGCCCCAACGCCGACACCTCCTCTCCGTCGTGAAGCCATCTACGATGAGAAGCTCGAGACGACGTGAAGCGGTTGTTGGAGAAGCTGAAATGGATGAAAATTTTCGGATGACGTATTCAATTGCAGAGTTGTAAGGAATTACAAGGAAAAATGTCAAGTATGGTGCAACTAGCCCCTTTATCGTTGTTTTCTTTTTCAAAATTTCTACTTTTTATTACAGCATTTAAATTTATGATTAATAAAAATATTGATGAAAATTTTCGGTTGTAGTATCATTCTTGCAGAGGAATATAAGGCAGAAATCTTAGGTCGAAAGGTTTTCGTTTTTTTAATATGTCTCTCAGATTTGTGATGATTCTTCAAGATTGATTTTTGTTATACAAATCGATACTAAACTAAATATTGAAAATATTGATGAAAATTTTAAACCCGGTGGATTATTTTTAGAGCTATAACCAGAAATGTTCGATCTGGTGCATAAAGCTCTTTGTTGTTATGGCCTTTCATAATTGATTTTTATTACCCAAATAAACTTTTTAATAAATAAGCAGTACAAGAGGCTTTTGGTGTCGGACCACTTCCGGCGACAAAAAAATGCCTGAGGATACGCGCGACGCATCTTACCGCTACGCGGCACTCCACTGCACGAATCAACCGTGCAGATGCTACGACATCCGTGGCTCCATGAGACAAACAACCTTCACGAAAATTTTCACAGTTGCTTTGATTAGCCGTGATGGATTTCGTGACGCTGGCCCCCGTCCAATACATGGACCCTTCGATCGACACTCCGGAACTCGACGGCTTGAGCACGGCTCATAGCTCCGAATATGAAAATGGCCTGGTAACGGGGTTTGCCGGCGAGGTATCGGCTCTTATGGAACCCATGGCTCGCCCAAAATGCAACCCGCAAGCTTGAGATTTAGCCTTACTAGGGAGGTCTAGATAGGCACTAGCTTAAAAATGGTACACATATGATCCTATCAGCTGACTCTACACTCCTTTCGCGAACCACTTCTCTGAAAATTTTCAGCCCATTGCTCGCGTGCGACCGGGCTCACTATGTTCAAAATCGTTCAATCAGCCATTTTGCCGCCTAACAAGGGAACCTCAAGTTGGCACGGTGGAATTTCGAAAAACGCTCGCGGCTACCCCTAGGTTTCCGCTGACGGCGATTCCAGCGCTTTAGTCGGAATTAGCTAAATCGACCTGTGTCCGTCGATCGAATCGAATTCCGTCAGCGGAAACCTAGGGGTAGCCGCGAGCGTTTCTCGAAATCCCACCGTGCCAACTTGAGGTTCCCTTGTAAGCTCTAGCTTTTTTCCCCTTCGACTTGCAGGGGGGCGTGGGATAAAAATTTTCAGCGCGCCTTCGTGGGGAACCGGGATGAAAATTTTCCGCAGGAATTGACCTGGGACCAACAAAATTGACGAAAATCAAATGATACTTCAAATTTTCTCGCTTTTAACTTCCCTTAGCTTCTAGGTTTTAGACGTCGGTAGTATATTTGGCGAATAGGTAAAAGACCAGCATCAGCGAATCTATCTGTGTGCCAATTTTGAGCTCGCACCTATTTGGCCCGCCCTGGTTAGGGCTAAGTCGGGGTTGTCGGCGAGGTATGGGCTCTCATGGAACCCATGGCTCGCCCAAAATACAACCCTCAAACTTGAAATTAAGCCGTTGTGGTATATCGGGGTTTTCGGCGAGGCATCGGCTCTTATGGAACCCATGTCTCCGCCACAATGCAACCCTCAAACTTGGAATTAAACCGTAGGGATAAATGCTAACCTCAAACTTGGAACTAAACCTTAGGGGTAAATGCTAACCGCAAACTTGGAAGAACCGAGTTTTTCTTTGCTTTTCCAATTTTTTTTTTGGCTATTAGGCTGATGGCTTTTTAGGATCTTGCTTCGCGCGACTCCTCCGACTTCGGCACTGATTCTACGCCTTCAGAGGATGCGGAAATCCTCGATTCCGAATACGCACTTTATTACTATCAAATGGAGGACCCGTATGCCCATTTGATAACGAAGGTTGGAATTTTCTTTTTTATTGGATTACAGTATTTTAGGTCAATGATGACCTGTCGGCTTCCGAGAAGTCCTGTAACGAGCTGGCAATGGAGCTGGAAAGAGAGCTACTTGCTGCAAGCGCATCTGAAGTGGATTTCAAACAGAAGGAGAGGGTCTATGTTGAGAAGGCGGTACGTTTGGATCATCCTTTATAAAACGTTTGTTTAGGTGCCCGTCACTTTTATCTGCTTCATCTGTGGACGCTCATACAAGAACGAGGAGGACATGCGAGAACATGTACGAGCAGATCATATCAGCAAACAACGCGTAAATCTTTGACGCCTAACAAAATAACATTGTTTTTAGGGAAAATTCCCTTGTGGGTTCTGCAAAAAGCTGTTGGTTTCCGAGATGAAACTGCGCTACCATGTCAAGCGTCAGCATCTCGTGCGCTTCGAGTGTAAGCAATGTCCGCGGCAATTCGCGTTGGTTTTCGGACTCTTAATCAAATTAAAATGTTTTTAGAGACCAGGTTTCGCTCACCATCCACTTCGCAAAAGATCACAGCGATTTTTTGCCGGCCGTTCGCTGCAAGCGTTGCGAGAAGGACTTCGTTACGGAAGCTGAGCTGAAGGTAGTTTAGGTCTGAATTTGGCTGACTAGATTTCTAGAGGCACGACTATTACTGCGAGCGCAAGGATGAGATTCTGGAGACGAGAAAGCTCAAAAGGGAGCAGGTGTTGAAGGAAACCGAGTCTCAATTTGATGATTCGGATGCGAGCTCTAGCGCCCGTCCAATCTTGGGTTGGTTTTTTTGTTTATTTTTCAAGCAGCTTTTTTAGATAAAAGCTGTCCGACTTGCCGACTCGTGTGCGCTTCGATACAAAGTCTAAAACGGCATATTCAACGCAAGCACCCCGAAGTAGATGACTTCCAGCCCAGCTATGTACCTATTCATTCGGTAAGGATTTTTTAAATACAACCACTTTTTTGCAGCCTAAGCACCCATTTGCCTGCGACATCTGCCGAAAGGGGTTCGGTTCCAACTCCGCATTGAACATCCATCGCCGGCGCACCCATGACAACGTCAAGCCATGGCAATGCGAGCACTGCAACAAGACCTACCCACTTCTCTCCGAGCTCAAGAAACATGTAAAGGCCGTGCACGAAAAACGCGGCTCGGCTAGACCCTCCTCCCCCTCCGCCGAATTCGTAGAATTCTAATAATAACCATTGACCGGTTTCTAATTTCTATTGTAGATCCCCATTGATACTTTGATACGTGTACCCTGTGATAATAGCTTCTTAGCATTCGGGTAATAAATAAAACTACGCCTGTGGACGGGTTGTTTCCATTTTGTGGAAATTCAGTTTATCGAAATTCGTTGTCGATATTGCAGTAACGATGACAGTATTGCTCAATCTGTAAGCACCTTGATTTTTGGCATAGTGAAATTCGGCATTCTGATAGCATTTCATGTTACACTGGTTCAACCGATCGGAAAGAGTCATACGCCGTACCCAAATACAGCAAGGGAGAGGGGGCATATTTGGGTGAGGCGCACACACACACAGCGCACCTGTGTGCTACTAATGATGCGGCGAGGTTGACCCGGTTCTATTTGCGCTGCGTGTTCCGCACTCGACCGCCGCGTTCCCGCAAAGACTCGGCGCTCCTTCCTTCGCCGGCCGCCTCGCCAATATTACATTTCACCTTCGCCGCCCTCACATCCGGCCTGTACGATCCTCTCGCTCGCCCGCCGGGCTTTTATGGGATGCCCGTGTCTGATCCGGTTCGACCGCATCGATTGGCACGTGCTCTGGATCCGAGATTTCGGTCGTCGGGGCTTGAGCTTGTTTTCTGAGTTCAATCACGTGTGCTATAGCTGGGGATCCGAGAAATATGACAGGTTGTAAAAGTGCAATCTCTTCTATAGGCTGGCGACAAGGTTAGAAACACGATGAAGCTCTATACTAATTATTCCAGCTTTTGCTAAAAGCTCTTGCTCCCGTCCCACGGATGCGGCATCGCTTTTTTTGCGACGCATGGATCCCGAGAAAACATCCAATCTTCTTTCTTGCCCCCGCGGCCACTGCCCATTTTTGAAACGTTTTTGTTATCGGGGGGAAAGCGAGGCCCGCGGGACTGTGTATGCATGCCCGCGTTCCGCGCCATCAATATTTCGGCCAGCCCCTTATCGGCCGCTTCACTTGCCCTGTCACCACTGAACAAGCCACTTTCAGCCACGGAATTTTATTTGAGGGATTTGAAATGCCTCTTCCCGGCGGCGATTATCGATTTGGACAAGCTAAGCGATCCAGTTGCATATTTTGAAACGCATTGTTTAGGGCGGGAGTAGAATTTTTGAAACATACATTCAGGGACGTAGCGTAACCCCCGCCCCGGGCGCCCCCCCCCCCCCCCGGCGCCCGGGGGGAAAAATTTGGAAAAGGGCCCTTTTTTGTTTTTTTTTAAAATTTTTTTTTTTTTTGTGTGTTTTTTTTTTTTTTTTTTTTTTTTGTTTGTTTTTTTTTTTTTTTTTTTTTTTTTTTTTTCTTCGGGGTTTTTTTTTTTGGTTTTTTTTTTGGGTTTGTGTAAAGATTTTCCGGGTTCCGGAATTTTTTTGGCCCCCATACATTTAGCCTCCTATCCATTGTCAATTTGAAGAGAAAAATTTGCTGTGAGTGTGCTACGCGATCCGGAAAGATAGTTTGAAAAATTTTCGATAATGAGTGGCATTTTTGGAATCCGAATATAGGTATTTTAGACGGCATTCCTTCCCAATTCTCGTAATTTGCCCGAATCGGCGTGCTATTTCAACTGTCAAGTCCGCAATTCGCGGATTTTATTTTCATAACGAATTTATTTAGTAAGTGAGGGAGTAGATCTGTAAATATCTTTAAATCCGATCTTTTAGAAGCCTTTTAGACGACGTCTTCTGAGTGACCTAAACTATTTTGAAAACTATTCAATCCTACCAGACCTAGAATTTTTTAAGAATGAACCCAATCCTTTAGAACTCTTCTAACCAGGATATTCCCTGCCGATGCTAGTTATTAGCCCGAATCCGACCCGGCTATCCGGATAATCCCTTGCCCTCCGCTATAGCTTAGTTCTCCGATTCGACGTGGAGAATCTCCTAGAGGAAGAATTATGCGCATATTCCCCGGGATGATGCGCTTCCAACAAAGGCCATTGCCTAGCCTATAGCTCCGTTATGGAGTAGTTTCGTCGGGATGCGGGTGGGCCGATGCGTTTTTATGAGGCTGACTGCGGGGTTCGGCTGGACGGGGGGCATTGGTGGACATCGATTTTCGGGCTCCCCATATGTGTGCGTATGTAAGGGAAGGGGGTGCGAGGGGGGAGGAGATGTCCGTTTCGCTGTTTGGCCACCACCAGGCCTTGTTCTCCACACTCTTTTGCGAGGTGCGGTGGACACAGAAGCCTGTGAAGCCCTCCTCAACACCCGACTCAGCACCCGGGACCAGTCCTTCTTTAGGCCGGTGCTTTACTTTTTCGCCGCCGTCGTTTGCCTGGTTTTGGTGATGGGGTTTTGTGTCCTGCGAAACTCTTTTGCGTTTAGCGTTGGACCTAATTCCCAATTATCAGGCTAAAAAGGATTTCCTAAATGCTTTCTTCATCGCGGCTTCGGGAATCCTCTAAATAACAATAAAACTTTTTGCGAAATCTTGAACTTGCTGTTTTCCACTTGAAGGCTCTTGAGAAAATCAGGCGATTTTATGTTGAGCGCTCGACGTAAAATACTAATTCTCAAAGCTAAAGCTGTAATTTCTCGCGTTGTTAGAATGGTAGTTTCAGGAACCTTCTGGACGAAAAATGGTGCTGTTTACGTGATTTTAAGTTTTTCCCTATCGGTTTTCGTCTGAAGATTCAGTGAGAAAATTGGATTTTGTACGTCTAACGGTTTTTTAAACTGTTGATTTTATTTTTCATCATTCTGGCTGTAGAAAACTTTTATATAAAAAATAGGGCGTTTTATTAAATCTTAAACTTGTCTAAATAGCCGTTTTTACCAAAACTTCTTGGGAAAAATTGTCTGTCCCGAAAATTCTTTCAAAAGTTCGGCTTGCCCTTTGGCCGTCTAATCGATTGTGTGGTCATTAGTTGGGTGATTCATACCCTCCAGTGACTAACGGTGTGCGCTATGTTCAACCGGCTCTTTCTTATTAGTTTTTTGTTTTGCTTCAACCTTTTTTGAACGTTTAATTTTCCATATTTTCAGAATCAGCGCGAAAGGAGGAAGGACATGGCGGCAATCGAAGTGAGTTGCGCACTTTTGCAGAAATAAGCCCCTAGGATTCGATTTATTGGCTGGCTAATCGTGTAATCTTTCAGACGGGGCTACCCCCAAAGGGCAGCGTGGCGGCGATGGTCAACAGAATGTCGCGCGTCGACCTGCCGATGAAGATGCCGAGTAACACGACGCCAAAGCGTGGGTGATCGATTTAGGTTTGAATCTTTGCTTTTTAGCGTTGCCCAAGTCGCCATCACTCAATCTGCGAATTGTTTTGTTCAATTACGAGGCGGCGGAGAAGGACGAGCTGGAGCTACACGTTGGTGATGTACTAGAGGTATAGATTCTTGATGTCAAAGTATATTCGATTAGTGGCTACGAGACACCGAGGAGGGCTGGGCGCTGGGACGACGACAGCGAGACGACAAGGAAGGCCTTTACCCTACGAATTTCGTCAAGGATCATAAGCCACGTAAGTTTATGTAAAATTGTGATTTTTGAGGGTTCGTTATCGGGGGAGCAAAATATCTGTTTTTTTTATAAGTCTAAATATTTCTAGTAACCCATAGGACGTATTTTAATAAGGGTTTTATTGAAATAAAACTATATTTTAACTAGAAAAAATTCAAAAAGTCGAAATTTTGGTAAAAACCGTCATTTTTGGTCAGAATTTGTAAGGTGTTACGGTTAAGCGTTTAGAAACGCTTTCGCTGTTTATATTTAAAAAAATTCTATCCTAAGAAAAATTTTTTGTTTTCTCCTCAGGTAATGCAAAAAAAACCCTTTTAAGCATTGTATTTTATTCATCTAGCTTTATATTTGTCTATTTCTACAAAGCTTATTCCTGGTTTCAGACGCCTCCCCTCCAGCCATCAGCGCCACCCGCATCGAGCCGACACCCTCATCCGGCCACAACGACTCGTTCACCAGGTCGACCACCTCGGCCACTGCTGCCAAACGGATCAGCCAATGTTTGTCTTTTACCAGCGCCACACTCGCCCCCTTCCATTCCATTTCCCGCCAGCTGATCAGCTCGTTTACTCTTTACAATTGTTGACTTTAGCCGACGCCACCGTGGCGAATGAGAACGCGATCAATGGCAACCCGCCGTCCGTTCAGAAACCCGACTCTCAAGGTAAGGTTTTGGAAAATCGTTCACGCGTAAAATACGTCTGCCTCCGCCTTTTTACATAAAAAAGGGTGCCGATTTTTGCGCAAAACCCTAATTTTCATATAAAAAATGAGATCCTTGTCAAGATCTAAAATTTTGGCGATCGTGTTTCTGACCCGTTCCACACCTAATGACGTTTATTCCCATCCAAAATGGCTTTCCTGAAGTGTGTGAAAGGACAAAATTGTGCATTCACACAGCGATAATTTTTTACCTTTAAACTCGTAACTTTCTAATTTTTTCAGAGATGGCACGCGTCCTCTTCACCTACCAAGCCTCCCACCCAGACGAGATCTCCCTGAACAAGGTCGGGCAAATGGTCAAAATTATCGACAAGGTAGGGCGGCGATCGTTGTGTCACCATATTTCGTTTTGTCTAGAATGGAACGGATCCCGGCTGGATGGTCGGCGAGCTCGACGGCAAACAGGGCCTTTTCCCCGAGAATTTTGTGGAAATCGTCAAGGTATTTCCACGCGTTGCTGGCCTTCAAAAAAATGGGCTTCAGATGGGCCAGTCGCCGTCAATGAAGCCGCCGGCAAAGCCCCCAGGCGGAATGGCGCCCATCGTGCCGCCCGTCGTCCCCGCCAAGCCACCAAAGTCGATTTTGAGCACGAGGTGAGGGTTTTTGGTTTTTTTGCATTACCGGGGAGCAGGGGACAATCTTTTCCTTAGAGCCAATTTTTCAAAAATAAATAGTGGAACGATTTATAAATTGTTTTCGCTATTCCTAAGCGTAAAGACGTTGCAAATTTTGATACAAAAATACAAACAAAATTTTTTTTAGCTCTACTAACGTTTCGGAAGCTTCCTCTGCTGACACTTCTACAGCCCCGGCCCGGCCCGTCTCAGCCGCCCCGGCTTCCGTCCGAGCAGCCTCAAGCGGTGGCGTCGGCGCACTCCGGAATCAACTGCTCAATCAGGTATAATTTTTACAGATTTTTTTAAATATTATCTGCTGCGTTTTGCTCCTATTACCTAGATCTATTTTCCAGGGTCTTTTTGCAAAAGGAGCTCCAGCTCCGGGTGACGTTCCAGTTTTGACAAAACCCGCTACCAACCATCAAATTGAACAGGGTAAGCGTTAAAATAATTTTTATAATTTAGTGTTATGAGATTGTTTATTTTGGCTATATTTATTGTTGTTGTGCTTTCAGGTCCCTCGCTGGATGAACCGATCGATTCGGATGCTACGACGTCCCAGCTTGTTCATCTTAATAAGGTGATTCGCATGATTTAAATCTGGTTCTTTGCCTAGTTGATGAATTTGGATATAATGATTTTTTAAGAATAGTTTTTATATTTTTCCATCTCAGGCTCGCCCGAAGCAACCAGCCGGTCGACGCCCAATGTCTGTCTACGCTGGAAAGCGGCTGTCGGAAGAGAACCTCTTGGATAACCCGATGACTCGTAGCACCATCGTCTCCTCAAATAATTCACATGTAAATCAAAGTCCCCTTTTCCCTAATTTTTTTAGGAAAGCCTGCCCGAGCCCCGGGAGCTGACGTCCCACGACACGTCGATGACCAAGTCGCTGGAAAATGAAAAGTCATCACGTCAGGAGGAGCCTCGATTCGAGCCAAAGACGGCTATCTGTAAGTTTTTTTCAACGCAATTTATAGGTCTGGCTACCAACCCTCAATTTTGTATGTATTCTTGAAAACAGTTTGCAATTTTCAAATATTTATCTTTTAGTGCCAAACACGCCGAAGGCGGCGATTCCGATGCCGGCGGGTAGCGGCGGCGGTGCTGCAGCCCTGGCCGGCAGCCACATCAAGAACGTCATCCACTCGGCCGTCAGCACAAATTCTGGCGACGCCGACGAGACGAAGAAGGACCAATGGGTGAGTTTTTGAGGCTAATGATGATATAATAAATTAACATTGGCCTTCTAAATGCTAAATTCACGCCTAAATTTCCATCCAGGAAACTTGCGCTGAAAACTGAGGGCAAGGGTTCTTTCGTAAAATTGAGGTCGAGGCCAGCTTTTTTCGTAGAATCCAATTTTTTTCTAATTAAAATAGATAACTACGCTCCCTACAAATTTTAGGATACAAAACGTAACAAATTACAAATTTTAGAAATTCAAAAGTAAGTAAATTTTCCACCAAATTTTGACACTTGCAAACATTTTCTACGTTTTTAATAGTTTTTACACAAATATTGCTAAATTTTATAAAAAAACGCTACTTGGCGTTTCTATAAGAATAGAGACTTCAGGAAAAAATCAGTCCTCCAAAAATCACGATTAAAATACTAAATTTTTATCCTGAATGCGCCCAATATTCCATTTTGCAGGTTCGTCGCGAGGAGTACGACGCACTCCTCCGTCGGGTCAACGATCTCGAGGCACGACTGGCCGCGTTGGAAAAGAAGTGACCTCCGCCACCCTGTTGCCGGCCGGCTTCTTCTATCCCCCCACTGAATTTCAACCGGTTCCCCCGTCGCCTCCTCCCCCCAAAACGTCTCCATTCCGAATAGCTGATTTACCCTGATTCTTCTAGTCACTGACCCCTTAGGAATTCGATGATTGCCCCCGTGATCGATTGTAAATTGTGCGATTTTTGAGTTGGGCCCCCTGCCACCCACAGACTTCCGCTTTTACCCTCCCTTTTATTGATAAACTGTGCTAACTCGCCGCCTCCCTCACTCAGCCTAACCATACCAGTTCACTTATTTTTACCGCCCTTGAATTATTGCCGTCATGAGGAGTCGTTTTAGGTGATGGTGGCTTTTTTCGAGGTGATGTAGCGTTGCTTCGATTGAGCACGAGTTTTTTGTCTAAAAAGTAAGATTTTTGATTTTGGTCCAAAAATCGGCAAAATCGACCGTTTAGAGCACATTTTTCTCAAAATCCGTTGTCATTTTCCAGCTTTTTGAAATTGGGACTTGTTTAGAATTTCTCGCTCTATCAAATAGGCTATAATTTCCCTAGAAAAATTAAATTATCACCAAAAATGACTCCTTTTTGGCGGCTTCCCCAGATTTTCTATGCCCCCCCCCACACCATACATTCCTCGCCTCAAGAACCATTTTTGTGCGTGTGTGCCCTCGTTCTCCTTTGATTTTACCGTTGTGAGCATCGTTTTCCTCGCTTCCACTGACTACCAAAATGCCTTGTGACGTGATTGCCCTCGCGCTGACCCCGCTGACCGCCCTGGTTGTGGAGACAGACAGGCAGAGCACCACCCTCCCCTGCCCATATGTTTCAGTTAATAGTAAAGCTTATAACCGCTTGATGGAAGGGAGTTGCAAGATCTTTCAGACGGACATACGACGCATAGTTATTTTTCATCATTTCAGATTTTTTGCAGGTACTCTGTGAAGATGTGGATAGAAAATCGAACAAGGAATCCGATGCTGGGCATCGCGACGTCTAGAAGACCTCTGAAATGATGTGTGCTAGCTTGCCATGATTTTTCGAAGCCCTGAACTGTCGATATTTTGGAAATCCTGGAAATTAAAGAGCTCGCTAGTCGGCTAGCGCGTAAATTGGCAAAAATTAAATACGCGGGACTGAGAATTTCGGCCGTAATCTCGAAAACCAGAATTCCGGGCGAATCGGGTTCTATTTAAAGCAAATGTTTTAAAAATTAAAAGAACATTTTTCGACCAACACTTCAGCTAAAAATTTGTTCTAAGTTTTTTACTGGTTTTCAATTTAAATATAGTTAAATTTTACAAAAATACTCGTAAAATGCTGATTGCTACGTTACTAAGCATTTCTAGACCCTTACAAAAAACTGGGTCCCCCCAATAATGAGAAAGAGCCCAACCTATTTCTGCGTTTTCGAAATACCTTGTCGGTCCTTTAGAAAGTCGAAGCAAGCCCGATCCGCAATGTTTTCCGCCCCACTCACATCGCCTGCCCAAAATAAGCAAATGTTTTGGCAGCCGTTCCGCATACAACTGTTGACGCACCATCGTTTCTCCTCCGGAAAGGTAGTATTTTGATCGCTGGCGCCTCGGATGCCCGATTAGAAAATGAAACCCAGGGTCGGCTAGGAAGTGAAATTTTAGGGCGTACGGCCGTGACAATAAAATGGGTAGCACAACCCGAGCAGATCAGTGAATGCGGTGTCACTTGCTTTTTTGTGATCGTGGCGACCCAGTTCTGCCGACAACCGACTACTTTTTCCGGTTTCTCGCGCCCGCAGCCGTCCTGGAAACCGTGTCGGCAACGGTTATGAATCTGGCACAATCGGGGTGTATAGTTTTGTGTTTCTGGAGGGTTAGATTGACAGTTTTTGAGTAGTTTTTTGTTTGTAACAATGCCTTTTCTAACATAAAACCATTTCCAGCTTCTAGAGTAGTTTTCAAGGTTCGCTACGTATAAACGTTGCCTCTAAAACCTTTAGGAACGCTAAAACGGCTTCAGAAATTTCATCCGCCAAAATTGGTAGCCATTGGCTCTTTTTTGTGATTTTAGAAGGTTGTCTTGTGCGTTTTTGGCTGTTTTCTTTGCTTGTGACATTGCTTTTCGATTAAAAAAGTTTTTCTAGTTAACGTTATTTTATTTTAATGCTAACAATAAAAATAGCATTCACTTGTTAACAATAATAAAAACGGCGAAACCTCACCTACAATTTTTTTTTGGGGTCTAGGAGCTATTTTTAAAAATGTTTCTGAGCTGGTTTTTGCGTTTCCCATGTTGGTTTCTATTTAAAAAGGTTCTTTCAAGCTTCTCACTGTAGTTTAACAATTTACTTCTAGGAATAGCCTTGTATTTTCGGTTTATAAAGCTTGTTTTGACAGGTTTGGGCTTCTTTCAAGTTTTTTTTCAAGCTGCTAGCTGTCTCTTAGAACTTTAATTATACAAGAAGAAGATGGGCGTTACATATTTAAAAGGAACAAAACGCTTTGAAACGTCTTTGGCTAAATTTCGCCGAATCCGAATAGCTGGCGCCGCCAACTCAGCAGCGCCGAGCAGTAACGGCCACACCCTGAATTCATGCTTCCCCGCTTCTTCCAATAACTGCCTCACTTATACGCACCGTTTTTCGGGGCGTATTTTCTTGATTTTTCCTGATAAGGGGTATAGTCAGCAGGCCGGGCACCGGGTTGCAAACGATTGGCGGTGATGTGTATAAGCCTGGTCGTCACCGACAAACACAATCGGAACACGTTTTTCAGGCTTTTCTAGGCTATAAACTACGAAAATTAGAGGTTATTTCCGTTTTTCAGTGTCGAATTACTCAAATTTTTGTAGAATTTAGAAATTTTTCATCATCCCGCAAATTTTTCAAACCGGGGATTCGTAATGGCCGGAAAATCCAGAGTATAGAAAGCGCGGAAAATCCAAAAAGCGGCGTTTTAACGGTTCAATTTGCGTTATTTTTACTTTTTTATTGTGCTGAATTACTCTTTCTTAGCGAATTTGCCATTTCATCGTCCAGTAATCTTCGAAACCGGAATTTCGTAAACTCGCGGAAATTGGGGGTATATGTAGAACGCGCTGAAATTCCAAAAAGCGTCTTTTTAAAAGGCTAAATTTTCATTATTTTCGCGTTTTTATGATGTTTTTGTGCTTTTATTACGTTTGGTTATTCATTTAATAGCGAATTTGTAAGTTTTTATCCTGATCCTGTAAATTTTAAAAGCTAAATTTTTGAACGCCGAGGCGCATAATTGAGGGTTACTGAAGCACAGGAAAAAAAGGAGGAAATTTTTAAACGACTAGGTTTTTCTAGGCTATTAAAAATTTTCGGCAACCTTCGAAGTACGTTTTTGCTCCTCCTTTTCTTTTGCCAACCTTCATATCCTTTGATACTCATCTGTTTTCTCTACTTTACAATTTTCTACCCCGATTCGCTGCCGATTCTCCAAAATGAAATGTTCATTATCAACTCAGCGAGCCCGTCTCGCGCACATTCGTGCAAATATTTGTTATTTTCCGGCGGTGGTCCCTAGATGATGGGCTCCAGCCTCAAACTTTAGGCTTATTTAAGTTTTGTTTTTCGAGATTTCTTTACTTTTGGGATTTATTGGAGCGCCTCTGGGATTTTTGAACAAAAAAATCATATAAAACTATCGGATTTAGCGTTTAAGATATCGGTTTTGGAAATTTTTATGGTGATTTTAATTGCTACTAGGAATTTTATTATAGATTTTGGCATTTTTCCTCCAATTTCTTGATCTTCGATAGCTATTTCTATTTTTTATTAGTTTACAAGAGATTAATATAGTGATTTTAATGGCTATTTTAGTGGATTTGAGCAATTTTTATTAGCAATTTCCATATCTATTTTAATGGTTCTATTCCGCCATACTTTTCCAATTCCATCCGCTCGCGAATCCCCCATTTCGGGCGGGTCGGTTGTCCCAAAATGGGCCGGTGCACCGATCATGACCAATTACGCGAGGATATCATGCGCCATAGTTTGGGTTGGTAACCGTTTTTCGGTGACCAGCTACGTAGTTGGACTTTGGACGGTTTTAGGTTTCTTTTGGAAGTCCTACAAAATTTTGTTTCACTAATTTTTGGCTTCCTAGTGCCTTTAAAAAGAATTTCTGAATATTGCAGTATATCTTTTAGCCCTTAAAAACATAGGAAAAAAATTTAGATGTTTTGGTTACGTAATTTTGGAGGTAGATTGCCTTAAGCAAGCGAATTTTAGCTTTCTAACCCCTTTAAAAGAGAGGGGCTTCAAAATGCCACTTTCTGGTTCCTTTAAAGAGATCCTGGCATCTGCGGTGATCAAAATTTTTTTTTGCAGTTTGTGGTCCCTTTAAAAGGGGCGTGGCTTCAATTTTGACCTTCAGATTCCTTTAATGAAAGTTTAAAAATACCTTAAATATTACCTAATTCTACGGTTTAAAGTGGCCACCAGGCGATGAGCAACCCATGCCAAAATGCTCTTTCCATTGATGGGCTTTTCGAGCCCAGGCTGGCTCTATTCGAGGGCTGTAAGCGGTTTAGGGTATTCAGGGCTAGAGAGAGAGAGAGAGAGAGAGAGAGAGAGAGAGAGAGAGAGAGAGAGCGAGACAGACAGACAGACAGAGAGACAGACAGACCACATACAGTCAACCCAAAAAGGAGCATTTCTCTCCCTCTTTTCCAATCGATCTCCCTGCCCACTCATCGGTTTCCCCTTTCCTATTTTTTTTCGTGTTTTTGTGTGTGTATGTGTCAATTCTATTTCGCGTTGCCCTTTTCCTCATTCTCCTCCTCCCGATTCTGTTCCCCCAAAACCGGTTCGACCCCTTGCTCCAAACTTTCCGCCGCTTCTAATTCCCTCTCATTTGTCATTTTTGAGATTTTCAGGGCCGGAATACTGTATATTTGCGTTGGGAAATGAGATGATCGAGTGGAGGGAGTGAACGATGCTGAATGGTGGGTTTTAACGGGAGCGTGACATCTGGCAACCGGAGCCAGATTCTGGCTTCAATGGCACTTTAAAGACCCAGGAACAGCTAGAAAGCAGCAACCAGATGTAGATTTTGACTTCAATGGCCCTTTAAAGACACAGGAACGGCTAGAAATTGACCATAATATGTATATTTTGTCTTCAATGGTCCTTTAATGGGATGTAGACAGATAGGATTCGGGTTCCATGGGTAGATTCTGACTTCAATGGGCCTTGAAAGGCGCAGGAACATCTCGAAAATTCGATTTTCCGCTGAAACAACGACAAAAACACCCTCTTCCCCCGTTCCTACCCCTGGTTTCGCAAGCAAGCGGATTATAGTAGCGCGACGGAATTAAGGGCCATGGGGGGACACTTGAACAGGGCGAGTCGACACCCGGGATCAGCTAGAATCGGAAGGAGACGAACAAAAAGAGGAAGAGCAACGCAAACAGCTCGGTTTGGAGTAGCCGACCGGCCTAGGGGCCCTCACTTTTCGATTCCCACCGCTCGATTTTGATTCCGGACTAAATTTTTCGATTCTAAATGGTGACCCCGGCTGAGCCGCCAAAAATTGAAGCCTCGACTGGATTGAGTGGGTGAAAGGGACCGGGAAGTAGACTTTTTCTAGAGCTCTTGTGCGCTGTTTCTCTCATAAACACTCTCTCCCTCTCGCTTTCTTTACTCTCTCACTCTCTGGCTTTCTCTCTCTCTCTCTCTAGCCTTTTAAAGATGCGGCGAATTTCAAGATCTATTAGACTTTTTGAAGATCTTAAAACCGTGGGTTTGGGTGTACTGTAGCGCAATGTACGATGTAGCGTAGCGTACGTCTTAAAGGGACTGAGAAGCCAAACGTTTTGTCAGCAAGAGAACTTTCCATTTCCATCATATATTGCCATTTCCAGCTCTCGATATCGTGCTGATCTGCGTGGGGTCGGCCTTCTTGCTGTTGACGTTGTGCCTTGGGACATTAGGGGCCATTTTTTGGCGCAGACGGCAGCAACATGCAAAGAAGTGAGTAAAAGCTTACTTGCGAGAGAGAGAGAGCGAGAGAGAAAGGCGGAGAGAGAGAGTGAGAGGTAGAGAAAGCGAGAGAGAGTGAGATAAATGACCTAGCTACCGTATTTTAGATCCTGGGCCCACCAGCCGTCTTTCGCACAGCACCAGGTTGTTGGTGAGCAGCACAGCAGCGTGTCGAATCCGAAGCTGGAGACTGGGGTGAGAGAGACAGTGAAAGAGAGAGATAGAGAGAGAGAGAAAGCCATCCAGGGGGAGCGAAATTTTTCCAGAAGCTCTGCTAGCTTGCCTATAAGCCCTTTTTTAGCTCCCTGAACCTCGTCGCATCGAGCGGCCCACTCATATCGACATCCCGACGGTTTTAAGCCCCGGAATGGATGCCGTCGCTGAGAAAGCGCTAGCTTACGAGACGTAGGTGGAGAGAGAGAAAGAGAGAGGGAGAGAGCGAACGAGAGAGAGGAGAGGGACAGAGAGAGAGCGTAAGACAATCAGCAGAAACCATTTAGGAACATTCCGATCGCCGAGTTCTGCCAGCGTGTAGAGCTCTACCACGGCCAAGAAGATCAGGTGTTCGATGATGAGTTTGAGGTGGGCAGAAATTGCTGTCTCTTTCTCTCCCTCTCTCTCTCGCTCTTTTTCTCACTCCCCCTCTGAACTAAAATTCCAGATGCTCGGCCGCCGGATCATCACCAGTCTAGAACGGGGCGATTCTGTCAGCGGGGATACAGAAGAAAATGCAAAAAAGAACCGATTTTTGGACGTGTTACCTTGTGAGTATCTCTTTCTCTCTCACTCACTCGCGCTCTCTATCTGCCTCTCTCTCGCTCGCTCTCTCTTGCTCTTCCTCTCTATTTTCTCTCTCTCTCTCTCTCTCTCTCTCTCTCTCTTCTCTCTCTCTATCTCCTCTCACTCTCTCTCTCCCTCGCTCTCGCTCTCGCTCTCTCTCACTTCCAATTTCCAGTCGAAAAGAATCGAGTGAGACTCCGTGAAAAATCTGGCGACTACATCAACGCCAGCTATATAGATGTAAGCAATGGCTCAAATCAAATTCTCTGGTTTGCAGAGCGTGACCGCCTCCAACTTCTTCATCGCCACGCAAGGGCCATTGGGGGAGACTGAAGTGAGCGTAAGTGCATGATACCCTTGGCTACGGTAGGTCTCAATTGGGACCTACCAAACACTAACAAGCTCCTCTTTACTAATTGCATGATGATGTTAGATTCAGGCTTAAGCTTGGGCTTGGGCTTCAGCTTAGGCTTAGCATAAGCGTAGCTTAGGCTTAGCTTCGGCTTAGCTTAGGCTTACACTTAGGCTGGAGCCCAATAAAAACATCCGTCATTAGGTGTCAAGCGGCCGCCGCGTCGAGACGGTCACCGACTTCTGGGAGATGGTCTGGCAGCACGACGTGTCGACGATCATCATGCTCACGCAGTGCGTCGAGAACTGCAGGGTCAGTGAGAACATCTAAAGGTTCACGGTTAGCATGCCTTTTTCCCAATTTCAACGGCCCTTCAAGTCTCGATTTTTAGCCAAAATGCGCTCAATATTGGCCGTCAAACGTCGGGGAGGCGATGCAATTGGGGGAGCTCGAGGTGAGTGAAATTAGGAGTGTAGTGGAATTGCTGCAATCTTAGGTGGATTTGATGTCTACCACTGACGACCCGATCTCGATGCATCGAGAATTTGATGTGCGGAGGGGCGGGAGGAAGAAGGAGGTAATTCCTCAATGATCCCTGCTAGCCTGCCTTCCTCAAAGTTCTCTGCTATCCTACCCACCGTTTCCTCAATGATCTCCGCTAGACTGCTCTCTGTTCCTCAACGATCTCTGCCAGTTGCTCCTTAATTATGCCAATTCCAGATCTCCCAATTCCATTTCAAAGAATGGGAGGATGCCAAAGCGCCAGAGAGCCGTGAGCATCTCCTCGATTTCGTCGAGCGGATCCGGAAATCCGGAAAACGGGCTCCGATCCTTGTGCATTGCAGGTGAGGCTTACTGTATCGAGTTACTGTACGTCGTACTTTGTACGCTAACGTAGCGCCTAGTCACCATAGACTACGGACGCTCCCCTTTACAGTGCCGGAGTGGGCCGCACCGGCGTCTTCATCGCCCTCTACAACTTGCTCACCCAGCTGGACGACCCGCAAGTGACGACGCTGGACGTGTACGCTACCGTATCGCGGTTACGGTACGTCTACGTTACCGTATCAGCCTTCACAGTTCCTTTAAAGAGAAAACCGGGGTTTTCAGGGAGCAACGAGTCCGAATGGTACAAACTGTCGAGCAGTATACGACGCTTTATGACGTTTTGTCGGCGGCGATACAGGCAAAGTGAGTTCCTCACTGATATCTGCTAGTCTGCCATCGCTTCCTCAATGATCTCTGCTATCCTGCCCTCGATTCATAGATGATCTCTGCTAGCCTGCCAACGAACAACCCCTTTTTTCAGACATCCCCACCTCGCTCCGAAGCATTCCCTCCAAAATTCTGATACTACCGCCTCGATCCGGTCTTCCAATGAACGGCTATAGTATCCGCACGTCGTCTACCGTATCCAAGCACTTTCCATGGCTTTTATTTACAGTCTTATTTCCCCTTTCTACACCCTGTGATTGTACAGTATACCCTCGCCGCTACGGGACACGCCAATAAACGTTTATCAAGAAAAATCCAATGAGAAAAGCGAGCGTAAAATTCTATAAAATTGGGTATTTTTGGCATTTTCTGGGGGGTCTCAGGAGCACCGCTTGAAGACGAGCTGAGCGCGGTCGGTGGCGTCGTGGCATTTGATGATCTGGAATTGAAGAAAAAGTTATAAAAATTTTGTTTAAAGGGCCGCTCGAGGCGAGGGTTTGAGTCTTAAAGAGACCGCGACTGCAAAGAGGTCAGGACCAAAAGTCTGGCAATACGACAAGATGCAGAAAACCGCTAATGTTGTTTGTATTCTGGCGTAGCGTCGAACAGCTCTGCGTATAGTTGCGTAGCGTACTATTTCAACTAGCAGTGTTTCTTCACTTTGTGACTACACGTCAGCGTCTCGTACTGTTACGTATCTGCGTATTTTCGTACGTTGCGCCGTAGCGTATCGTACTTTGGTGGAGGTGGCGCTCAGTAATGTAGTGTATCGCATTCAACCGGTATGTTGCGTATTTGTACGCTTTGCTAGCCCCATTATTCGAACCGTTGCGTACTATATCGTACTATGGCGTACTGAAGCGTACCGCTTCGTACGGCTGCGTATGGTTGCGTACCGTTGCGTACCGTTGCGTACTGTGGCGTACTGTTGCGTAGTCTAGCGTACTGTTGCGTACTGTTGCGTACGGTCGCGTATTATTACGTACTGTCAAGTACTGTTGCGTATTGTTGCGTAGCGTCAGAATCCCAATTCCCAGCCTCCTTAAGGCTCATAACGATCAATATACCTGCTTGCCGGCCTCGTCCAGGTAGTCCTTGTGCTGCAGCTCGTAGATCACCTCATATCCGAGCTTCTCGAACATCTAAAAATCCTGTTTAATTACGGTATTGTATCGTAGCGTACTCTAACGACACCGCTTATCGTATGCAACAATACCTTCTGCGAATTGTGCGCCGTCGCCTCGGCGAGCAGCCCCTGACATCCCTTGCTCCTAGCCTGCTCCTCAGCATTCCGCATTATCCTAATTACGCCGCATGGTGGGTATCGTAAGTACAGTATACCTATTGGCGATGCCCTGTCTCTGGTGGTTCGACGAGACGGAGACGATCATGATGTAGAACAACTTGTCCACGCCGGCAGGTACTTTTGCCAAAGCTAAAAAATGATAAGTGATAAGCTACGAAGCGCTGCGCTACGATACGCTACAGTACTTTACGATAAATTATGACATTATACGATTCATTATAGTACGCAACAATACGCTACGTAACGATGTTACAGTACCTTAAAATACGTTAAGATACCATACGTTAATGTACGTTAAGGTAAGCTACGATACGCTACGGTACGCTACAACCCACTACGACAGGCTATGTTGCGAACGCCATGCCTAGGCTTGGCTCCAGCGTACATGCCACGCTACGATAAACTACAAAACATGACGCAAGGCTATGTTAAGATACGTAACGTTGTCCTACGCTACGATAAGCGCCAATACGCCATGCGCCATAATCCAGTGCACGGTCCCACCTGCTCGTCCAGTCGATCCAGCAGCCCGGCAATTTTCTGGATATCGCCCTCGATTTGGAAGTTATCCTGAAAAACATCGGCTAAATTGACTGCATAGCGTATTGGTAATGCTTCGGCCTTCTAAGAAACTATCAAGGGTTCGAATCCCGAGCGCGCCAATTTTTTGCTTTTGGAAAATTTCGTTCAAAAACTCACCCCATCATTATTGTTGTTGTTCGAGCCGGTGGGGCGGTAGAGGAAAGAGGCAACGTGGGTGGCAATGATCTGAAGCTTAGGCTTAGGCTTGGCTTGGCTTACAAGGAGATGGTCTCAGCTCGACACCGAGTTTCGATTTGAAAATTTGCACACTGATAGAGCTCGACGAGACGAATCGATTGGTGTAACTTTCAGCTGCCCATACGATAAAATAGCCGAGTTATAAGCTTTTTAAGTTTTTGCATACATTTTGCATTTATTCGCCCTACCTTCATAAGCCCCTCCCCGTTCCCCCATCACCGTGGCCTGGTGGCCTAGTGGCGTAGCCGGTGGTGTATGGGGAATCTATTGAAGGTTCGAACCCGCTCACGATTTTTATTTTTTGCTTTTTGTCACAAATGCTGCCATTGGCTTTCTGAAGGCCTGGAATCAGTTCGCATTCCTTATTTTAACTCTTTCAAGGCGCAGTGACCATAAAACATCTTTTTCAGAAATTGGAATTTTGACCCCAAGGGGCATTAAAAGGCCATCCGCGAGTCACCCGAACAGTCCCCAGTATCGCTTGTCACAGTTTTTTTCGACGCCGTTTTTTCGACGCCATGTGAAAGAGCATGGTCAAATTAGTAGGGCTGCATAGTTTTGAATGTTTAAAAAGTTCATTTTTGGGGTTTAAATGGCCGTTAAAGTTGGCTACCTCGAAAAACTATCTCGAAAACTACCTCACCAAATTCGCTGAAAAATTGTGACAATACCTAATTTGGGGCGGGGATCATTTTTCTAATACATTTCAAAACATGAAAATGGCCGGAACATTGGAATCTCGCGTACTCAAATGAGTTTTTCAAGAATTACTATTTAATAGGAAGTTGTCGCCACTCTAGAAATACACTTAAAAGATGCGCAATTAAATTCTACGTCGAATGATGTGTTTTACAACTTGGCGACAGATTCCTATTAAATCGAAAAAATGGCATTTCTAAAATTAGCAAAAACAGCTCGAAAACATAGATAGCTTTGTTTTTTCGCAACCGGAGTCATGCAATCGGATATTGATGCTAAGTCGAGCTTGATACAAAAAATAGCAAAACGAAAGATCATTTCTACGCGAAATGGGGCCCGGCGGGGAATCGAACCCTCGATGCTCCGCCTGGGGGCACTGGGGACAGCCACTAGTGGGCGCCGCCACCTCCCCAGGCGAACGACCCGAGTTCAATCCCAGCCCCCTTTTAGAAATCGAATTTCTTTTTGCGCTTTTTTGCAATAGCTTTGTTTTGTTTTCTAGATACGAAACACCGTCTTTCTGTTCAGAAATACGCAAACTTTTCCTTTTCGGTGCCTTTGAAAGTCGTTTTTCGATTTAATAGGAATCTGTCGCTCTTGCGCATCTTTTAAGTGTATTTCTAGAGTGGCGACAACTTCCTATTAAATAGTAATTCTTGAAAAACTCATTTGAGTACGCGAGATTCCAATGTTCCGGCCATTTTCATGTTTTGAAATGTATTAGAAAAATGATCCCCGCCCCAAATTCGGTATTGTCACAAATTTTCAGCGAATTTGGTGAGGTAGTTTTCGAGATAGTTTTTCGAGGTAGCCAACTTTAACGGCCATTTAAACCCGAAAAATGAACTTTTTAAACATTCAAAACTATGCAGCCCTACTAATTTGACCATGCTCTTTCACATGGCATCGAAAAAACGGGGTCGAAAAAAAACTGTGACAAGGCTGGTTCAGGTCTCTGGCAAACGGCCTTTTAACTGTCCCAGCAACAAAATTAAAAATTTAGAACAAAAAGTTAAGAATCAATATAATTTACGGTGAATGCGTTGTGTGTCAGCAAGCATTGTTCATTGTCGCAAATTTTTTGAAAATGTTGTTCATAGGTTGTTCATAGGTCCAAAGTTAAGTTAGGAAATTTTTGATGATGAGGTATTGTGGTCACTGCGCCTTGAAAGAGTTAAAATAAGGAATGCGAACTGATTCCAGGCCTTCAGAAAGCCAATGGCAGCATTTGTGCCAAAAAGCAAAAAATAAAAATCGTGAGCGGGTTCGAACCTTCAATAGATTCCCCATACACCACCGGCTACGCCACTAGGCCACCAGGCCACGGTGATGGGGGAACGGGAGGGGCTTATGAAGGTAGGGCGAAAAAATGCAAAATGTATGCAAAAACTTAAAAAGCTTATAACTCGGCTATTTTATCGTATGGGCAGCTGAAAGTTACACCAATCGATTCGTCTCGTCGAGCTCTATCAGTGTGCAAATTTTCAAATCGAAACTCGGTGTCGAGCTGAGACCATCTCCTTGTTAGGCTTACGCTTATGCTAGACGTAGGCTGGGCTTCACTTAGGCTTACGCTTAGGCTTAGCCTTACGCATGGGCTTTTTGCTTAGGGTTGGCTTGGCTCAGGTTTAGGCTTGGCTTAGGCTTGGCTTAGGCTTCGCTTAGGCTTCGCTTAGGCTTCGCTTAGGCTTAGGCTTAGGCTTCGCTGAGGCTTGGCTTAGGCTTCGCTTAGGCTTCGCTAAGGCTTCGCTAAGGCTTCGCTTAGGTTCGCTTAGGCTTAGGCTTAGGCTTCGCTTAGGCTTCGCTGAGGCTTCGCTGAGGCTTCGCTGAGGCTTCGCTTAGGCTTCGCTTTGGCTTAGGGTAGGCTTAGGCTTGGGCTTTGGCTTAGGCTTACCTGTCCCTTGTCGTCCCTAATCACCATACTATTCCCCGACCTCAGCCCCTTCCGCAACAGATCTAAACACACCACAAATTAGCCTCCAAACACCCGGAATTAGCATTACGTCGGAAAAACGGGGCGCATCCGGCAGCTGACAGCCCCAGCGCCTCGTTTAGCGGCTCGCGGTGCAGGAAATCTGCAACAACAAATGAGCCACCAATTAGCATAATGTTTTTTGGGTATTTTTGCGTTATTTGGGGTCGAAAATATTAAAATTCCCCAGAAAAATCTTAGAACTTTAGCTTGGCAAATTGGGGTTTCGGCATTGTTTCGACACGAACCAGAGGTTGAAAATTCTCGGCAAAATTCGAAAAATCTATTAAAATGGAAAATTGTGTCTTTTTAACCAATTTTCAAGGCGAAAATGTCCAGGATTCTTTAAAAATTAAAAATTAAACCAATTAGCATTTTCTAGCTAGATTTTTGTCTTCTAAATAGCTAGAAAGTCTTTAAAAAACTCTCCAAAACCCACCGCTCAACAGAAATTGCATAATGTCGTCCTCCTGGCTGGTGGTGGCCTGCTCGAGCTGCAGGGTTGCCATTTTCCCCGCGAAAAATCTATAGAATTTGATTTACAAAAAAAATCCGAATTCAAAGACTAATTCAATAATGAAAAATTGCGGTTTAAACGATTTTTCGGGGTTTTAAGGAGCAACCAAAGGTAAAAAAACCAATTTTAACAACGGTAAAATTCAGAAATTCCGCAAATTAGCATACGATCAATTTTTAATCACGGAATTATACTAAGGTATGTGACAGCATTAAAATACTTTTCTAGAGGATAAAAATATGCATGTTGACCCCAAAAATCAGGTGAAAATCGCTAGGATTTGGTTGGCGGAAGGCCAAATTTCCCTCGGCCGTTTCCTGGACCCCGGTCGGGGCTTTCACCCTCTCTCTCTCGCTCTCTCGCTCTCTCTCTTTCCGGACTGGGTCGCCCTTTCCGTAGAATCGATGTGGCCCTTTTCGAGGGCCCAAAGACCGGAAAGACTGGACATTGAAACGAATTGGCTAGGCGGGAGAAGGTTGATTTTTTTCAGGGATCTCTGCTAGCCTGCCCTCGCTTCCTCAATGATCTCTGCTAGCCTGCCTAGTCTAAACTTAATACAAGGTGAGGCCAAATAAAACTTGCCGAACCGTAGGGAGAGTAGTAAAAAAACTGATAAAATACATGGAAATTTGTGGTATTTGGGTAAAAAAATGTAAATTATATACTGGTAAGCTAGCAGAGGTCTTTGAGGAAGGGTAGGGCAGGCAAGCAGAGATCATTTTGGAAATTCTGCCATCTACCATTAGTTGATATCTTTGAATCTATTTGCGGTCTAGGCGTGGGATGATCATCTCCTCCCCTGCTCCTTCGCTTCAGATAACCCCTCCATCCCACCCATAAATAAGTGTCGGGTCGAATAAATCAGAATGGATAATGGGATGGGTCGGGGGTGGGGGGGGGGGGAGGGGGAGGATTCGCTAGACTCCATTCCTCCGAGATTTATCTACCGACTCACCGAAAATGGGTAGTAAGTCAGAAAAGTCACGCGCGGAACAAGGTATTTGGAATGTAAAGGGACGTGTACGGAATCGCTATGGATATTGGCTAGGAGAGATCATTGAGGAAGTGAGGGGGCATGCTAGCGGAGATCATTGAGGAAACGAGAGGGTAGGCTAGCAGAGATCATTGAGGAAGCGAGGGCAGGCTAGCAGAGATCTTTTACGAATCACACGCCTCAATTTATGAAGTTTAAAAGCCAACGCCTCGAAGCCATAGCACAATAATAAAGCCACAATTTTCATTAACGAATGGTTTGTCTGGACTTTGAAGACAAAATAAACATTCGCCAATTCACGTGGGAAACTCCCGACAAACCGCTGCGATTTTGCAATTTTGCAGGGTTTTACATCGATTTTTCTTGCCGTTTTGTTGCTTAAAATAAAAGAGCCAAATCTTTATTCCATGACACACCCGTTTGTTGAGAAAAATACCCAAGAAAATCGCATTTTTAATAGTCGAAGAGCTTGGCGTTGCGGACGGAGTCTCGTGCCGACTCGTCGATGTACGGGATCCGGCCCGCGTCTTTTGGCACGTAGGCGAACCAGAGTTCTTTCGAATCGTCGGGACGGATTTTCTGGAAAATTGAATTCGAAATAGAATTTATACAAAACTTAATATGAAAATGAGAATTAATTCAAGTATGAGATTGATTTTCGATGTTTAAATACACAAAAAAATACGTTGTTGTAGTTTGTGGCAAAAATTTTTAAATTACTTGCTGCCCCATTTGATAGAGCAAAAAATTCTGGACCGGATGCACCTTTTAAAAAGATCGTAAATCGATACGGCAACCGTCGAAAATTCCCGAAAAAACCAAATTTTCATTTTTTTGTAACTTTTTACTTTTAATCTTCTTTTTCTGGAATTTTGTACACTTCTTTGCATTTTTCAAGGCGTCAAGGCCATACCTCTTTCAGAATTTTTCGCTCTATCCATTGAGCCACTACTTAGGTAAAAATCTTATTTTAGCCTATCTTTAATGCAGAATCGGCACTCACCCTGAACATGGCGAAGGTGTGCCGCCCCTTGAAAAAGTCGGAGATGCCGAGGCTGTGCATTTTCTCGATCGCCACCGAGCCGACCACCTCCACGGTCAGGGTGGTGAGCACGAGGCCTGTAAATTGAAGATTAGCTAGAGTAGGCTAGCAGAGATTATTGAGGAAAAAACTCGCCGATAAACAAAAACGCTGTGGAAATCGCCACGTCGAGCTCCGATTTTCCGGTCGGAACTTTGTCGCCGAAGCCGATGGTTAGCTGGAAAAGATTCATCTCTCTCTCTCTCTCACTCTCTCTCTCTCTCTTTCTATCGCTCTCTCGCTTTTTCCCCTCACTCTCTCTCTCTCTCTCGTTCTCTTTTTCTCTCCCTCCCTCACCAGCGACACCAAGCAGAAATAAAAGGAGTCCAGGAAGTTCCAGTCTTCGAGCCTGATGAAGATCCACGCCCAGATAGCCATATAGAGCATCAGGACCCCAATTACTTGGATACGACGGTTCGCTGCTACCTAGAATAACATGGCGTAATCGATGTAACCTAAGTGTTATTCCCTACCCTTTCTACCGTACCTCAGCAAAAGGATCATCCTTCCCGCCCAGACGATCCGAGAAGAATTTCGCCACATCGGCTATGGTGATCAGCGTTAGGGGGATGCTGGAAATGATCGAAAATGGCTTAGGCTTTGGCTTGGGATGGGCTCGGCACAAGCTAGGCTTCGGCTTAGCTTAGGCTTAGGCTTAGTATTACTTCGGGAAAATCTTAAGCTTAGCCTCAGGCTTATCTTTGGCCTTATCTTGGCCGTCTTCCTAATTCCTTACCCAAGCAAAGCGTAGGCCATACAGAATATCTGGCCCTTCGTGGAGATCGGAATCAGGTGACCATATCCTAAAACGGGGTCCATCACACTCTGGATACCGTAACCCACCTATAGACGTCAATACGGTGGTCGTGAAAAAGATGGCCGACGGCATTCCCCATTTTGTGGAGAATGTGGAGTTTTGGAGGTCAATCGGCTGGAAATTCGAGCTTGATTTTACGATTTACGCAAATGATCTCTGCTAGCCTGCCTCACCTTTATGCCCTTTTCGTAAGCGAGTAGCGTGACGTAGGTGAGATGGTCGAGTCGTGAAGTTAGAGTGATATTCTGGGGATCCGATTCGATGTCCACGGCAAGGAGCGCTTCCTAAAACTGTCTCTCTCTCTCTCTCTCTCTCTCTCTCTCTCTCTCTCTTCAAACCCTCACCTGTGCCTTCTGTATCTGGGCAAGATGTACGTTTCGCCGTTGCGTCTCGTAAGGGATCTCGATTGACTGGACAATTAGGTCATAAATTTGCATAAATCATTTGTTACCTGAAAGACCCATGCCCCTCCTGTAATATATAGTGTTGTGGCGGAGATGAGCAAAATGTGGGGGAGTGCCAGGCTGCAAAAATGCGAATTGACGAGAAGGAAAGAAAGAGAGAGAGAGAGAGAGAGAGAGAGAGAGAGAGAGAGAGAAAGAGAGGGAGAGAGAAATAGCTGGTGCGAGCGTACCGTATCTTTTGTCGTATTTTTCCTCCCAGGGTCAGCTCTTCCTCCTCTGCTTGCCCCTCTCCAGTCAGGTCCATGCCATCTCAAACAGTAAAATAAGAGAGTATTTTAAATTTTGTGAGCTTTTCAAGATTTGGTTTCAAAGTCAGTTTTAACCTAGTTTTTCGATACCTTCTTCAAAGGCCAATGCCAGAGACTCCATCCCGACGTTAAATAGGGTATATCGCGAGTGTTACGGTAGCTTAGACTTAGGCTTAAGCTAATGAAAAGGAGACAATAATGATGTGTAAATAGGCCGGTAGCGTACTACCGAACTTGAATAGCTTTAGTAAATTTTTAGAATATAGCAGAGTACCGGATTGTAATTAGGTGGCCAATGGAATACAGTACCGGGATCTTACGGTATCGGATGCTACGGTATTCCGCAATGCTCCTACGGACACACCTGCTATGCCTCCGCGGCGCACGATGCGTGCCGCGTGCCCGCCCTCCAGCATCTTTTGACGCCACACCTGAAAAGGGGTTTGTCTCTCTCTTTCTCTCTCTCTATCTCTCTCACTCTCTCTCTCTCTCTCTCTCTCTCTGACTTCCGGTTCTTTCAATTCCCATGCTTCCCCAGCGGCTTACTATTATTCGGAAACACCTTGCCCCCCGGCTAAACACCCTGCGAGATTTTTGGGTCCAAAACCAAGGCTCTTAAAAAATTCCCAAAAATCTCTGCTAGCAT